ATAATTTATGCTATTGATACCTATTATTTGTAATGTCTTTTTATCTTTTAGCCTTATGAGCATCAACAGAAAGTATGCAAATATCATTATGCTGATTCTGTAAGTAGTTAGTTATACGTTCAATTAAACTTTCTAGTTTATTCTCTCTTATAATTCTAAGACTTTTTATTGGTTTTAAATTTATTGATTGATGTCCAGATGTTCAGTTCCATATTTTTTCCAAGGACCAAGTTGTAAAGATTATCGCATGGAAATTAGAGATAGCTAATTTAAATGAAAAAATATATAATTATATGGAATGCTTTTTTTCAGGAGCTAATCAATAAAGCAATAAACTGTGCGTTATCGGTGCGGCAGGCTTGGGAGAGAAAGCCTCTTGCAGACCGTGTCCAAGTCCTTATGAAAGCAGCTGACCTCGTTTGCACAACCTACCGATATGACCTTTTGGCAGCTACAATGGCAGGACAGGTAAGCTTTTATGAGATATGATCCATAAAACTTTGGAATGCTAGTATACAGTAGTTTTCGTACTTTGAAGTGGCGTATATGATGTACTGTACACCTGAAAACCAACCCCAGAAGGCATAAAAACAATTATAATACAATATGTAATATTATGAACAGTTACAGTTTTTGGAAATGGCATGGGAATTTCTGCTATTATTATTTTATTAAATGTTACGTGAGAATTTTTTTAAATACCTTGTTTAGCAAAGCTGGCGCCCACCAGTAATGATGATTTCAAATTTCAATTTTGACCAATTACGCACTTGCCACCCACAAAATAATGGAAATTTCAGAAAGAAATACAAATTTTTCTTTATTTAAATTTCTTCCTAATTATATAGATTCAAAGCATTTAAACATCCCATTACTACACTGTTCACATTCAACAGTAACATTTAATTTTATTTTATCCTACATTTAGATGATTTTGGCAAAACCATTTCCTAAATAAGAAAATAAAATTTTATTTTTTTTTATTTTTTTCTGCCCTCCTCTGAGGATCTTTAAGAAAATAAGTTTGTGAAACAAATCTCGTCTTAACAACAGTTCTTTAATAAAATAGAAAAATTTTACCTTCTTTCTAGATTCTAGGCTTTGTCTCATTGGAGGATAATTAACTTGTACATCAATTTATTGTCATTAGGGCAAAAGTGTGATTCAAGCAGAAATCGATGTAATTGCGGAACTAGCAGATTTTTACCGTTTCAACTGTAAGTACGCGATGGAGCTATCCAACTACGAACTCATCAGTACAGCCACGAGCACCAATCAAATAGACTATCGTGGACTGGAGGGATTTGTTGCCGCCATTTCACCGTTCAACTTTTCGGCCATTGGTGGTAATTTGGCTGCAACACCGGCACTAATGGTAAGAACAGCATTTGTTGTGCCATTATTGAACTAAGATTACATTCACAATTGCACTGCAAGCCAGGTGCGACTCAGGCCAGCATGAACATGTTAGTGATACATTGGTTAACCCAAATCAAATCAATCAATGCTATAATTTAAAACCATTTTGACTCTGCTAGGCTTAGAGCTACTACCTGCTGTAACACTGCTGAATTAAACCCGAAACATCCCTATCATTTTTTTACTAGCTTTCTTTTTGTGTACAGTAGCTATTGTTGTTGGAACTTGTTTTTGAAATATTTAATGTCTTGATAATCAAAAAATATATATATATAAGTAATGTAGAAAAACTTGTAAGAAAAAGTTACCATGTTTATATGTATTTATATTTTTTACTTAATTATTTAATCATTATATAGATATTCAGTTTACTGTTTAATAATTGATTTGTCATCAGCATAATTTGCAACATACAGTATAAAAAATATCTGTAAGTAAAAACATCTCTTAATGAGCACATTTTCGAATTATTTTTAAATTAGGAAAAGTGTAGGCCCAATTTAGGTTTACACTCTACGTATTTCTTTCCAGGGGAATGTTGTGTTATGGAAGCCAAGCGACACAGCAATGCTCTCCTCCTGGTTAATCTTCAAGCTTTTACGTGAGAGTGGGATTCCTGATGGAGTCCTCAACTTCCTGCCAGCCGATGGTCCAGTCTTTGGAGATGCCGTCACCAGCTCTCCTGACCTTGCTGCAATTAACTTCACTGGGAGTGTCAAGTAAGATGAACGGAAAGCGCGAAGTTTGCAACATCACAGTGGAGATTTCAGTTAACAATTGACCAATCAGAGTAGGGCTATGAATAAGCGTGTGTCCTGCAAATACGTGTGCTTTCCCACAAACGCATATTTGTGTGTGTATTTTGTTACAGTCGTTTTGTAGGACTCTAATGTCCAATGGGAGGGTCTTAGTGGAAAGTTTGGATCCACTATATTTTGCCAAACAGGATTCAAAAAACATTAAAAGATGTAATTTATATTCCTCAACGTTACTCAAGTAGTTGTTCAGTGGGTGTAGTTCATTCCAACAATCATTAGGTCAGGGTGCTCTTAATGGCTAAATAAGCACCACAGGGTTATAATATTTTAGGAGGTGCTTATTACAAATTTTGGAATGTAAAAATATCATTTCGTCTTGAACAAAGGAATATCTGACTTTTTTGCAGTACATTCAGACACTTATGGAAGAAAGTTGGCAATAATCTTGAAAAGTACAAAACTTTCCCAAGATTAGTTGGAGGTATGCAATATAATTAATTGTTATATTTATGAATCTCATTATTGTTACTATTATTATTGTTATTATTCTTACATATCAAAAACAAGTTTGCTAACATCAAATCTGTTTCCATTTTTGATCTACAGCAGACACTTCCTATTTTAAAATTTTATCATCTTTTGCTCTCTCACTCAAATATTTCTTAATTTAGAATGTGGCGGTAAGAATTATCACCTTGTTCACCCCACCGCTGATGTGCAGTCTGTCATCAATGGATCTGTGCTCTCAGCTTACGAATTTTGTGGCCAAAAGTGTTCAGCAATGTCTCGTCTGTATGTCCCTGAGAGTTTGTGGCCTGATATCAAGAAAGGTATGGTGGACATCCAGAAGCAGATAAAGGTTGGCAAGGTAGGGCAGGAATGCTTTGTAAGATGGGGAGGAGGTTAAACATTCACAAAACCAATCAAACTTTTGGATTAATCATTTATATCACAGTAGATTAAGTGCGTTCATAAATAAATAATTATTTTATAAAGTCATTGATTCTATGTGGATTTACGATTGTGGTTATGTCAAAGAACTATGTACATGAATCAAAGAAAAAAAATGGGAACTATGTTCAGACTTTTACCTCCAGTTTAATTCCTCTATACCAAGGATAAATATCTCTGTATACTTATCATAAAAGAGTCTCCGGTGACCATCATTCACCGCCATTGACTGCTCTGCTAGCAAACAATGTATTCTGGCACTCGAGGTTGTAGGCATGCTTATAGGCAGTGGTTCTAGGCACAGTTTTATTATTATTTGAAATGAGTTCTGTGGAAGCAAAATGTCAATCAGTTCATTTATCATAGCAATCAACATCACTATTAATTTGTGTGATTTTGTTTCAGGCTGAAGACTTCAGCATTTTTACATCAGCTGTTATTGATGCTAATGTAAGTTGCCCTGTTAATATTTGTCACCTCCCCCTGTTCAAAACTTGCGCTCTCATCAGCGTCATTGGACCCATCATCACGCAAATCCTGGCACCACACTAGAGTATAATGCACATTGCAATAAACTGCCACCAAGCACTAACATTATTACCCCAGTCATAGGATCAAATACTGTAGCTATGGAGCACACCCATATTTGGGATTACCATTCCATAACCAGCTAGACAGTGCTTGGTATTGGATGACAGATACACCCACTTCGATGGTAAACTGCCTTGCCATGAAATGCACAGTGAGAGACTGAAAATCCGAACATCAGATGTGAACCGCTCGTCAAATAAATAAAATAATAAAAGTAGCAAAGGCAAGCCAAACTAGTCGCCCCTCACAAAAAACAAAAAAAAAACGAAACGTTTTTTTAGTTATTAATCCAGGTGAGTCAAATAAAAATCATAAAATGGTAAAAGAATCATGTACATCCGACATTTCAATTTGAAACATACAGATCAGCCTTCATTTTGGCAATTTCTCAGGCAGAGACCATCAACAAATCATTTAAAAATGTTGTTTTATCATTGAAAATGGGGAAATAACAATATAGCATAATGTATATATATATAAGGTTTAGTTTAGTGCAATAAAATAGATTTAAAAATGTAGACATTGCAAGTGTACATATGTTTTGGCTCCTATCCCTGAAGCGCAATTTGCGACGAGTGACTGATTTGACTTCTCTTATATGGACGTTCATGAAATCCAACCTGCTATGCTAACAAGTTCTGATAAGGAGCTTATATTTGCTGTTACCGCCATTATATTGTATAATGTCCGTTTGGTTTTCTTTTTTATCAGTCTTTTAATCGAATCAAAAGCTACCTGGACCATGCCAAGAAATCACCTAGTTTAAAGGTCATTGCTGGGGGTAACTGTGATGACAGGTGAGGAAAATGATCATTATTAGTCTTGAAGTTTTAACCACTAAGTTATACAATTCTACTCAACTCCAGTTGTTAAAAATAATCTATTTTTATATCTGAATTAAATTTGTATAAATATTAACATCTGACATGTTCCCATGAAAAGTAATTGTTATTCTAATTTAATAGTATTAATTCAGTATATAACCAATATGTATAATTAATTTTTATTTATACTGTAATGAGCATTTTCAAATTTAAGGTTACTTAATGTAATTGGCACAATTTTCAAATGTGACAAAAATATTGTCAGATAATAAATACTGTAAATAAATAGTTAATGCACACATTGTATTCAAAATATCAAAATTTAATTATTGATTTTGTTAAACATATTAACATGCAACTTTGTCCATGATTCTGGTACATCTACTGTAACTTGCCACACCAATACTACTTACTGAGTATAAACCAAGGGATGTGGCCATAAAATTCAATGAAAATTAGGGGCCTGGTTTTTGTTAATTTTATTTTTATATTGCTAATTATGCATGAACTCATTACATTCTAAGTAAAGAACAGGGATTATCTCCTTGTTTACTGCCCAATTCACCATCAGAAGGATCCCACAGATGATAAGTCTTTGGAATTTTGTAGGTTTGTTTATCCATTATGTGTTTCACCAAAACGAACTCCAACCCAACTCTTAAAAAAAAAATGTATATTTCCAGTTTTTCCTTCTCGATGTTTTTTAAAATCTGATCTTCTACTTTAATATCTACCTTCTATAGCATTGTGTGTTAAAAAATTCTAAGCTTAGGACAATGTATTATAAAAAATATTAAATACAAGAAAAATGTCTTCGTACAAACAGCTAAAGATAATTTGAAGATTTCAAGATGTAAATATTTGTGTCCCTTTAAGGAAATCATTTGGAACAATTGAAAAATACAAAACTATGAACAATTAGGCCCTAAAATTTGTTTGATATTTGATTGCGAATTCTAATGGATAGTAGTTCGAATGATTTAAGATATCTAGATGTTTTACTGGTTTGTGATTTTAACCTCAAAACTATTTTTTCCCCAGCAAAGGGTATTTTGTCGAGCCCACCATCCTAGAGACCACTGATCCACAGGAGCGCATCATGCAGGAAGAAATATTTGGCCCAGTAGTGACTGTTTATGTTTACCCAGATAATAAATTTGATGAGACTGTTGATCTGGTGAATAATACGTCACCGTTTGGTCTCACAGGGTCGTTGTTTGCCAAAGATGAGTAAGTATGGATGCTAATTCTTAAGACCATTATAAAAAAAAGGTTAGTTTAAAGATGGCACATGAAAAATACTAAATAAAAAATTAAAAAATTCAATTTCAAAATCAATTGCTCATTTTAAAGTAACATCAAAATTATCAACTTGAACAAAGAAATTACAGTAAAACGTCCATTTTACGAATAGTCAATTTTATGAATGGTCTCTGCCCCTGATGACGTCATCATCGACCAATTATTACTATAAAAAAGTCTGATTGTTCACGTTTCACAAAGTGATAATGTATATTTTTCTTAATAAAATAAAGTTTGTTGTATTTATTTATTCATAGTTCGAACTTTCTCTTCTATTTCTGGTATAATAATCACTATATTAATGTAATAAACCTAACCAGAACAACGAACTACCAACGCAAGTGTCGTCAGATTGAGCGCACATATTTACGATGACGAACGAGAGTGTTGGATCAGAACTTATTGACATCGTGAATGCTAGATATGATCACGAAATGCATGTAAACAACACAATTCAGCTACTAGAAAGAACACGATAGGACCATAAAACATACAGATTTTTGAATAAGAGTTAAAATAATATTTTGTTAAGTGGAAGAATGCCAGCGATTAAAATAATTTGGTTTTTATCGAAGGTAAATTCAGCTAGGCTCTAGTGCGTTAAACCATGTTGCTGCACTGTCAGTTCGTGCTAGGCCTGGCTGCCATCAGCCTATCAGCGCTCAATGGCAGGGGATATCTAACCTACAGTAGGTATTGGAAACTGACACCCGATCTAGTTTACAAATTTTTTAATTTACGAACATCCCTTGGTACCATGGGGTACGTAAAATGGACGTTTTACTGTAGGGTATTTCAAAAACAAAAAAAATACCCCTAATTTTACAGCGAAAAATGATAGAAACCCTTCCAGTCACTTTAGATTATTCCTGACAAGGGCAGATCTCGGTATACTTGCCCGTAAATGAGTACCTGGTTGAAATGTAGTTGAAAGTTTGTGTGGAAAGAATTATGACCACCCTACAAAACTAGGCTCTTAAACACTACAGCTAATTTTTTTTTATATCCTCAGGTTACTCAGATAACATTTTGATAACATAAATTAAACTAATTAACTATTATTTATTAAATAAAATGTATACTTTTCTATAAATAGAATTTTTCTCAATGTCTAGACTACTTAATATACGATATCATTATTTCTACCATATTTTTTTATTAATGTATTATATTTAATATCATCAGAAACGTTATTCAAGAGGTTGGTGATAAGTTAAAGCAAACATGCGGGAATTTCTACATTAACGACAAATCCACCGGATCTATTGTTGGCCAGCAGCCATTTGGTGGTGCTAGAACTTCAGGTAAGAATTTATTTTGTCTTTATTTTTGTTATGTTTGATACATTGTTCTTTTCCTCCCACCTCTTAGTTTTTCACAATTATGCATTTACAAATGATAAGCTTTTATGCAGTTTTACAGTAAGTTTATTAAACTTTATTTTTTATTTTCCAGGAACCAATGACAAATCTGGAAGTCCATACTACTTGCTTAAATGGACTTCCCCACAATCAATAAAGCGAACACATGCTCCTTTAGCTACTTGGAAGTATCCACATATGGAATAGAAATAAACAGGGTTTTGCAGAATTTGGTCAGAAACATACACCCCTTGCAGCTGAATGGTATATTCCAGAATTCTGTAAATCTTGGTTTACACGGAAATGCTCATATAGCACCCTATGTGTGTTAATTTACATCTTCGGATGATTAATAAGTAATAATTTTGACCAAAAAAATTCAAAAAAAAATTATCTGTAATGTGGGTTTATTTTATATTGCTAGGTAAAATATTATTTTTAATTGCTGACTAGCATCTCTAGATTGATTGTGGTTTTAACAAATAAAATAAATTTGTTTATCTGTAGATACATTTTATTAATGAATATTAATAATAATTAATATTGTCGGTAAATCAGTGACTGGATTTTAACATTACTATTTTGCACGGACTGTTATGTTTTTAAATCCATCTGCTTCTTTGCATACACCTTTTTCTAAGCTTTTATGCACTTTTAAGTTCATTAATGGTAATATAGTACTTAATAATTCATTTTGCTTTAGCACCGATTGAAAATTTGTACATATAAAGGTTAAGTTATGGTCAAAAAACCCCTAAAATAGTACTATATTATTAAAGATATTTTCTTTACAGCATATAAACCAAAGTTTGTATATGATTGCAGAAATTGTGAAGTATGTGGTTATAATGTATCCACTAACATATATAATAATTATCTGACCTGGTTAAAAAAATATTTTTATTTAATGACAGTGAATCATAAAGAAATTGTTAGGCATATCCTGATTTTGCATGCATGCAATGAAATGAAACACGCAATACTAACATGAGATAGGGGGCACCCTATTATAATTCAAATAGAGTTCGAACAGGCATACTTGTATGGGTCATTCAGGAAAGTGACAATTTAGTGGTCTAAAAACCATGAAAAAAATGTTTCACATTTGAAGCGTCCTTGGGCAAGGCGCACTATCCGCATAATTTTTCTCCACCTAGGAGTTCAAGTGGGTCTGCTAGGTGTCAAACACATGCAATTCTTTCTAGGGAGATGTATGCTATACGAGCTTAAACCAATGATCGTTGTTATAGGCCTAATGTGTCCGTTTAGAGGCCTGGTTGGCATGAAGACTAGCATATCAATATTATTACAGTATTATTAAAAAAACTGAACAAATTAAAATGTGGCCATTTATTATGTGAGTAAACATTACCATTATAGTATTAATGCTTAAACCCGGCCGCTCATGGCATCATACAATGGTCGTACGGCGGTCGGCCGAAAAATCCAACTCTGCTCCGTGAGCCTTAGACGATGCCATGCCGTCTGCTAATTGTCGGTGGTCGTTCTCCATAGTTTGGCGCAACGAGTGCCGGCTTATAGAATATCCACCAAAAATTTGTATTTTAAGAAGACATTTTACCATTCTGACTTATTTTCTTGTGTGGCACACAATATCATAACATTTAACATTTATTGTGGGTTCATATTTCCACCTATTGTACTGCCTACCTATTTTATTTATCACAAACACATTCAGAACGTTTTGGATGGAAATACGCAAATGCTTTGTTTACATTACAATACTATAATACATAATCTTAGACCTAGAGATATATATGGGTTTACACGTTGTCTAACTTCCAGGACATTGATTTTTTGATCAGGACCTTGAACTACATTGTCCCGAAGGACCATAGACCACTAAAATTACTGATAAAAAATTATTGTAAAACCCAAGAAAAGTGACCCAAAAATCTTCAACCTGCCCAGCGTGTTTGGAATTCCACAGCTGCTGTTATACTGTACAGTACATGTAATTTTGAGCATCTACCACGAGGGTTGCCGAAGTGAGAGCCAGCGAGTCATCCAGCGAGGCATGCAATTCATGTGAGCCGTGATGGTAGTTTATGCGGGACGTGTACCAAACGTGCAAGACACACAAAATTCCACAATAATAAACATGTGTGCAATTTATAAAACAATTAAAATAATGAATGACCTTCTTTTAACATAATTATTTTTATGTTAAGAAGACAATTTCCAGCTATCAAGACGCGACTTCAAATAGGCCATGGTGGGTGAAAATGAATATTACGAATTTGAGTCAACTCGGTCAATATCAGCCACGTGAAGGGAACCTTCTGGGGAAAAGAGGGGGAGAAGAAGTAACAAAGATGGAAGATGGAAATGCACGTGTCGGTCTGTCCGTAATCTTTTATTGTATGAATATGGTTTTTTGATCCCAGTCGTGGCTACATTAGAATTGCCACATATATATAATTGGGTTCCAAAATGAGCTGTAACTTGTGCTTGGAGGTCAAGGTCAAATCTTGTCAATCACTACATACAGTAGTTTGTTCTCACAAAAAAAAGCAGCTCCAATCCATAAGGTTAATAAAGACAGTTAAATAAAAAGGATCTTTCGGTTCGAAACTTTAATTGGAGAATATACTTGCTGTGGTTGTGAAAGAAATAAAAAGTAAAAAACTTGATGTTTGTATTGATATTTTTTTTATTATCACGCATTCAAAATTAGTGGCATTGCCATACCTAAACAACTAATAGATGTATATCATATATAAATCTATAGCTACTCAATAACTGACTTGCATTTTTGCTTCCACAGATAATGCGCCAAAGTTATGGATATAAAAATAATACAATTCTGAATACCTGTCTCTTATACACATCTAGATGTGTATAAGAGACAGATATTTTGAAATCATTAATTATACTAATTAACTATTATTTATACATAAAATTAATATAATAATTCATATTTTATTCATATTAGTGCAAGCACTGAATTGTCACAATATTGACAATAAAATTTTATTTAAAAAAAAAACAACAGAAAAACCAGATAAAGAGCAAATACAATGTCACATATAGGTCATCAAGGCAAAAGTTCCCTGCCTTAGAACCCAGATATGTAGTAAAGTTATAAAGGGTATAAGGTGGAAGGCACAGTACTACACCAGCTGCATAATATAATATATATATAATATATATATACACACACACAATCGTAGGATTATGTCTGGAGAAATACCAAATTAGCCAAGGTCCAAACCAGCTAGACCAAGTTTTGAGGTCGTAAACTAGAGTTGAACATATCTGAAGGTTTTAACAACGGATTAAATAGGCTTATAAAACAATTAGTATAGTAGTTTTGCATACAATATTTTTCACATTTAGTGTCTGAAAGAGGAACTAGTGTATGAAAAAAATGCATGATGCCACAATGATGCCTGGTAAATCAATGCACTAATTGCTTCATATAAAAATAATAATAATATTAATTAATAGTTCATTTTTATATAGCACAAGTACATAAGCTCTCAATGCGCTGCACTGTAACTACTAACACAGTATACACACATTTATGAAAATTACATAATTATATACACAGTTATACACATGTTATAATATATACATATTTAAATTCATGTAATACAGTATAACAGTTATACATTATAAATATGTATTCTTTATATACATATGTGTATGTATTAATTAATATAAAGTGTCTCCTTATACAGTTTTCATGAAATAACAATTGATTATAAAACCAAATCACAATTTAATAAAATTGCAAATAACACAGGTATTAGCCAATAAGTAAGAAAAATATCAGTAATAAAATAACAATGTCTGCTACTAAGATTATTGTTCAATCAACTAGATATATTACAAAGAATAATTGACCAATCAGATTAACAGAAAACAAACCTGGTAGTTGTAATAATTACTGATCAATCAGAAAACAGACTGTTTTCTTGTAAATCTGATTTGAGTATTCATCAACTATTTAAGTTAATTTAACAATTTAAAAATAACTTAATGACCATATTAAGTAATATGTAGAATTGAATGAACAATTGTTCATTAAAATTGATAAAAATCCATTAAACATCTAGAAAAACTGTTCGCCTAAAAGTTGACAATAGTACTTATTATCCACAAATCATTTGGACAAAATGCCCAAAAATATAAATCCTCTTTCGAAAAAGTTATCGGCATTAATTTATATCAAAAAGGCACACACACAGCTGCCAGAATCTATCAAAGACACATATGCTTTGTGAAATGCACCATAAGTCTATCGAAGACATCTTGAAAATCACCAACTAGTGACATATTCAAAACACTTGAGTCTATTATGTACACCTGCATACAAAATATGCCAAAAATTACACCTGGATATACTACCAATGTTTAAAAACATGGATCTATCCTCAGTCAAATACTGATGCAACAATCTTTATCTATCAATGTAAAACATATGACCAAGACAGTACAAATCATGAAACAAAGCAAATAACTGACAGCTGATTTGACTAAGGGCACATAATACTGTATCTGTCCACGACACATGTTGAATCACGTGTGCCAGTCAATATTAACCTGTTTCACAAAGACATAGTTTACCAAATACCCTGCACATCAAACAATCTTTGATATTGATCTTCTAGTTTCACCTTTCGAGCAAAGACTTCCTTATATTCCTGGAACACGCTCTTGGTCAAACCATGTAAAGGGTTTTACTTGTATGTGCTAAAATTTATAGATGTCGTCTGCATCTATAAATGACTCCTATCTACCAATGATATCATGGCCTACCAATGATATGTGGATCTCTCATTGACATTTGTCTCTGCCAAACAACAGTTTTTGACCTTTGTATCTATAAATGGCATTTGTCTACCAACAATACTATGGTCTAACTACTGACTTGTGGATCTCTCAATGACATCTGTGTCTGCCAAACAATATAAAAGTGTCCTCTGCATTTATAAATGACACCTGTCTATCAACAACACCATTGTCGTGTGGATCTCTTAATGATACCTGTGCCTCCCAAACATCTATAAATAACACTTGTCTCAAAATAATACCTTGACATTTCATCTCTCAATGGTGTCATATAAATGAATATTTTGTTATGACACCTGTATCACAATAAACGTTTGGTCTACCAGTGACCTGTATCTACCAAAAAACATGTTTGCAGTTTCTGTATCTTCTCTGTTTGCAGACAACTGCCTCAAGATAATAACTTGGTCTACCAGTGACATTTGGATTTCTCAATGACATCTGCGTCTGGCAAAAAACATGTTTGTGACGTCTGTATCTATAAATGACCACCTGTATCACAATAAACCCTTGGTTGGTCAGTTGTGAAGTCGAGTGATAAATGACAATAGTTTGATGATAACTGTATCTATCATCAAACCTATGTTTATACCCTAGTCTTTCAGAAACTGACCCCAAGATTTATCAATGACACAAATCACGTCTAAAACAAAGATACATCGCTCAACCAGTAGATCCAGTTTCTTCAAAACCAAATGTAGGTATATTAAATTACATTGGTAGTAACACTTCACCCAATAGTCATGTTGGTTAAACACCTGAAAAAGAGTACATTTTAGGTACTTCAACAACAGCTGAATCTAATGAACACTAATGTGCTCATACATATGCATTCTCAACTTTTGTTCCAAAGTGTCAGGGAAAAAACACAAAATAAGATAATTATATCAACTTGAGACAGGTAGTTATTTCCATAATCACTGGAATCCAGAAATTGGCATGTTCTTCAACCAGCAACACTTTCATGCAAAACAATTTTGCAAATTTTCACCACAGTACTTGTCTCCCTGGAGTCATCTGGTTACGGGTATCACCTGAGTACAATAGATGTGTTAAGAAAGCTCATTAAACCCTATTTCCCTGAAATTGCTTCTGCCACTTACTTTCAAAATAAGTCCTCCTGTATTATTGGAAAATATCATTTAAAGTTACCTGTACCACAAAACAAATGCACCTGCACTTTTGAAATTCATTATAACAATTCAAAAATTTGTATTCTAGCCAAGTTATATCTGAAAGATATATACATATCTGTTTAGGAAAATTCTATAGGAAAATGATTTTTCTAATACCATTTATAGTTCCACAATATTAAATAGCTTAATCACCTGGATTAAGATGATCAACAATTTGACCAACCTACCTATTTTTTTGCTATACTTATAATTAAATTAACCGCAAAGATGAATCAATATCAATTATTGGTCACCCAACATAAAAATAATCTGGTTACTTATGCGAGAATTGGTATAAAATGTATATATTTCTATGGTCTCACTAAAATGTGTAGTCAGTATAATGTACACATTTAGTGAGCACAGCAAATAATCGCTTGAATCCACAGTATTTACAGTTTTTTTAGAGAACAAATTGGCAAGCTTATAGAGAGAAATTTGATGTAATAGCTCAGATTTGAGAGTATCTGAGAATGCCTTGATCAGTTCAAATGGCCCAAGACAGAAAAATTTCAGTGGGAGCAAGTTTTGACAAAAGGTAAGCTCAAATGAGCCAATTATACAAAAGCTTGTGATCATAAAAAAAATCTAGGTGATTAGTTTCGATCAAGATATAGTCTGATATTGAAAGAGCGAGAGTTTTTTCAAAAATGGCAAGTTAAGAAACAAACCAATACAAAACACTTCACTATTTGTGTTCCTAGATAAACGAGCTCAGTTCAACGACTATATTCATAGGTCAATCTTCCTATATGCTCTAAAAACTGTCATCTCAGAGATGAGCAAATATAAAATAGCACAGATATGTCGTTATCTGAGAAAATCTGGCTTGGTTCCAATGTTCTACAGTAGTTGGATGTAAAGCTTCAGAGAAAGCAACTTGTTTCAACTGGCAATCACAGAATAAAACTGATACAGTGGAACACAGCAGATGTAAAAAGAAAACCCCTACTATCTAATATAATAATTACTGGATGAACAGTCGTAAACGTGAAAGGGAGGAAGGTGCGGATCCCCGATATAAGACAATGTAATCTTGCTCAATTCCAATGATCTAAGCAGATGTGAATCTGAGATTTAAATATTCTGAGATAGAAAAAGTTCTGATAACTGGTGAGCTCAGGTTTGCCAAAGTCTACAATATGCTACCTGACAAATGGTAGACAATGTTGACCAGAATATTTTGAACACTGACTTCGTACACTATGGAGGTATCTTATTGTTTCTTTCATTAATATTACTAATGTTCTGAAAGCAAAAAATGAGTGTCAGACTTGCCAATTTGAGCGATTTTCGTTTTTTTAGATTAATTTTATTAGTAACATCATAACATTTGTTGTGATAAAAATGGAATGGTATATTAATTTTTAATTATTTGATAGTTGTTTAAACAGCTTATCCATAAGTATGGTTTTAAAAGCAAGCAATACAGTTTACATACTTCACACTTCCATATTTTGTAGTACACATGTGCTTGACTGAATTTTTGCACATAACTTTCAAATGCATTTAATAGTACTTTTGAATTAACATCCTTCCATAGGTCAATAAGCACCAACATTTTAAAACCTAATTTTTCAGGTTTTACTAAAATGTAGTTATATTTAATTTTGATGGTAAATAATTGAACAATCATTATGAATTAATAGTAATAATATATAAATACAATTTCAATTATAATAGAATAAAATATTTGTATTTACAACAGTACTTTTCAGTTTACTTGAAATCTAAGAGTTGTCAGCCTGATATATCATCCACACAACACTAAATATACCTTCAACAAAAGCAATCTACATCTTTAAAAAATGTAAAAATTAATTTCTTTGTAAGTAGCAAAACTTTGATAATAAAGCTATTGTCTCTAATATAAAAGGACAGTAAAAATCAATTAGAAATTAATAGCTTAATTAAAACATTAAATAAGTTATTTTTTAACAGATAATTTATTTATTTTGAAAGCTGAGAAAAAATTTATGTACAATATTTAAATAAATATTGACTACTCATTTAATTATAATAATGACAAATAATTATTTCTGTCTCTTATACACATCTAGATGTGTATAAGAGACAGCCACATAATACAGAGAAATAGCAACATCATAAAAAATGGAATGTACAAAGAAAATACAAGTTAGATTTTTGATTTTTAAACAAAGTAATGGCATGTACTGTGTTTGCAACAGGTGATGACTTGATTCCAAACAACTACGATGAGGTGGAGTAACACAAGATGGATCATTCTTAATAACAAAACTGCCATCAATGGTCAGTGGACTAAAGTTGCATTGTGCAAGTGGTTAGTCCCGGTCGACAGCCAACAAATTTCTCATTAGGCGTAACCAAATGGAGTTTTGCACAGGGCTTCAGATTGGAAGGCGAGAAACCTAACAATCAACAAAGCATCCAATGACATGAGATGTGTAAATGCACTGATAACCTAATACAATGTACTGTATTGTTCTACGAATTATGCTAATTATATGACTATAATAGTGAAGAAATTGAGTGTATAGTGGCAACCCCAGTGCTGAAGAGAAAATGACACTCTGTCAAACATGGTATGACACCACAACAGGTTGTTGGACTGAAAACAATGATTTTCAGATGCAAAGTTGCTGTGATACAATTCTTAAAATTGTGGCCTAGAAGCACAATTTCTACTATCCTAAATGATAAAATCTTTCCACCACAACACCAACCAGGTGCTTTACTCTGGACTCAGACCGGACATGGGTTTGAAACTGGGGCCACCACTGCTTGTGCAGTGGTGGATTCAAGGGGGCTGAGCTGTCCTGGGCCGCCATAATTTTTTTTTCAAAATTACAAAAATTGATAGGTGCCAGACTCTCCATCTGTGAAAGTCCCTCCTTAATTTCAAATTCCTGGATCTGCCGCTGTTGTGTGTGAACAGAATAAGTAACTACGGAGTACCAATCCTGGTATGCAATTATTGGCAGTAGCCTGACAAATAATACTACCATGTCCATAACCTCTTGAGTCAAGGAATTCTAGAATGTAAATGATGTATCTTATCAGTTGAATAGTTTTTCATATAAGCAGAGATGGTGATCTGGGTTTGTTTTGGTTCACTCGAAAAGAGATGGTCTGATTCCTGCTGTCAATTATCAGACAAACTAAGCACACATTAGTTGTAAAGATCATTAAAGAAGATGATACAGAAGTATAAAATTATTGATGATAATTAGAATAACAAAGGATACTCGTGATGATAATCATCATTTTGATCCAGATATAATATAATTAACAACTATTTCAAATTATCTTATTTATATATTAATAAAAAAACATTGTCAACTCCAACAATTGGTACAAAATCACACACAAATGAATTATCAATTGCTTACACAAAATTCTACTTATTTTCTGGCATTATCAATTTCATCTAAAACTGAGTCAATTGTATAAACCAAGATGAGGATATTGTACAGCTGCAAGCATGGTTATCAACTTGTATTTCCATGGTCAAGATGATGTTGAAAAAATGTAACTCACTGTTACCAGCAATTTATCTTGAAAAGCCTCTTCATTCTTCCTTCTAGATAAACAATACTGTTACTGAATTAACCTAGTTTAAACTTGTAGTAAACACCACTCTCTCTCAGATGAGGTTCCATGAGCTTTCAGTACCGAAACGGTTGCCAATATCTTAACAAATGCCTATCACACACTCTTTGTTCTGAAAAAGAAAGTAATAAATGTACGTTTAGAAAAAAGTTTTCAGACAGTGAACACAATATGACACATTTGCCAACTTATTTTCTAATGCTGCGATTCCGCAGCAAATACGTTTGAAATTAACGCCATACATCATAGCCCATCATACAAAGTCATAGACAACAATGCAATGTGTTCAACGTCAAAACATAAGCTTGGTTTGTAAGTAACCCTGGTTTGTAAGTAATAATGTTTAAGTTTGACGTTTACGTTTTGGTGCTAGATCGATAGGCCTAGTGCCAAGGTAATCTATCTTTCTGTTACTGCAATTCTCTTTTTTTGAGGGAACAGACACAAGAATAAGGCATTTATTAAATACATATTTACAGAGGGAATAAGAAGGAGATGCTAGCTGTGTTTGGCATAGTTTTATGGTGCGATAACTGACAGGGACATGGCTCTTACAGGCACAGACACCTGCACATCTTTTTTCCAAATTTGTCACCTGTCAAGAGTTACATTTTCCCACAATTGGAGGACTTCTCAAGGAATAATTTATGGGAAACTCTTGTTGCAGCAGTGAAAACAAACACAATGCCTGATTTTCAATGAATAATTTACTGGAAATCTGAGTGCTGTTTCTGCCATGGAAACTAACACAATGGCTGCTTCCAATAATTTGGCCTAAATTAAACATATTATTATTAGTATTATTATGTTACTGAAACCTACCTTAAAGGAAACTCAGACAATGGAGAAATTAGAGAAAAATAAAAGACAACGTTATGGGGAAAATAACATGACCTTAAGGGGAAAATAACACAAAAGATATTCCCCTTAAGTTTGATTTAGAGAAATTATTATCATTATAATAATGACAAATAATTATTAATTGTGCTTGTATAGTGTATACTATAGCATCTATGCACCTTCCAGAAAATTGGAGAAAATGAACAGAGTGGCAATGAAAAATAAAACACATATATTACTGTCTATTGTATCTAATTAGTTCCCATAAAGTATTCTTTTAATGGGGATGCTTAATATTGGAAATGAATTTGATTATTATTTCATACTACATATGTATACTAACAAACTTAATTGATGCTAATTCTTAAAAGGGATAACTAGCATATGCTACATACACGTAATATATACAATGAGTATAGGCAACCACTGAATACGGAGGTACACTTTACCGCTACAGAGTAAAATATTGCATGACACAAAAGAGGATGATTGTATCCATATAGGGAAATGTATACGTTATAATACTACAAAAGCCAAGGTATGTGTCAATGGAAACAGACATAGAAATGGGTTGCTAAAAATGTTACCACATGAGTGAACAACAAAACAAAAATGAATGTGCAACAGTTTATATACAAACGAAAAACTGAAACATAAACAAAGACCACTATTCTACTATCATAAACGATAATGAAAAACACACAGGTTGGCGTTTGACTCCTGTGAAAGACAAGTTACAGTGCAATAGAGGGCGGTATACACTTGATTTAAGCTGGGAAACTCACCAATCGTCTAAATCCCACAGTGGTCTTTATTGTAAATAGTAAAAATGTTGTCATAATTACATCATTTACGTAATATGAATATCAATAAATATTGTGCATTAGAATAAACAACATATTTTTAAAAATGTTTTGTCTGCCAAAGGGTGACATGTTGGTAGTGTTCATTAAACAGGAAGCGATTCTGGTGAGTCACTGTGGTCATCAATCATCATCACTACCCTCACTTTCACCATCACCGTTAATATCATCATCACCATCACGATGTTTATCACAAACACTATCTTCATCACAATCACTATCTTCATCACAATTGCTATCATCATCATCATCATCATCATCACAATCATTATCTTCATCACAATCGCTATCTTCATCACAATCGCTATCTTCATCACAATCACTATCTTCATCACAATTGCTATCATCATCACCACCACCACCACTATCTTCATCACAATCACTATCGTCACCACAATCACTATCTTCATCACAATTGCTATCATCATCTTCATCACAATTGCTATCATCATCACCATCACTATCTTTATCATAATCATTATCTTCATCACATTCACTATCTTCATTACATTCACTATCTTCTTCATAATCATCATCAGTATCTTCATCATCATCATCATCACTATCTTTATCACAATCACTATCATCACCACCATCACTACCTTTATCATCATCACTACCATCATCACCATCACTACGATCATCACCATCACTACTATCATCACCATCACTACCATAATCACCATCACTACCATAATCACCATCACTACCAGCATCACCATCACTATCTTCATCACAATCAATATCAACACCATAAATATTATCATTACTTATTACTGTTGTGATTGTTTAAGTAATTATTGATTGTTTAGTTTCTAAATATAGATGTAATTTTACACTCATCTAGTACTGTAACTACTGTAGTATGTTTTTTTTACATTGTCTGAAGATTTTTTATAAATGATGTGGAGTTAGTTTACCTGTTTTGACAACGTTTCATAAAGCGTTGTATCTTCCTAGCAGCCGACTGTTCGCGCTTTATCTGTGCCAGTCGCCTAGAAAATATAGCAAATAAATTTACATAAAAATTTGGATAATTTTTTCGTAATGAAAGCAGCATTGAGCAATACAGTGTGGTCGAGATTATGAGAAAGTACTACGGGCAGATTGAATATGAACTCAGCTGGCCTGCCCAACTAATTTTTTGAAAATGAAAAAAAAAAATGGGGCAGGGGGGACTGCAGGGGCTTAAAATGTCGAGATGCGTAGCCGTAACATTTTGTACAAAGCCCCAGTCAAAGTGGGGCTAAAGTTTTGTGGTAATAAAGAAAGTAGATAATCACATTGTTCTATTTCTGGTAATAAACAAAGTAGATCACATTGTTCTAATTCTATTTTTAATATCATTCATCCTGTACTAACAGTCAATTTCTTTTAGTTGAATGAGAATTACAGAAAAAATTATATATAATAATAATAATAATATAAAAAATATAAATATCACTAATAATGAGACAATCTTGACTGTCGCTCATGTTTCACTGCAACCATTACACTGTTTAGCTGTAATCAGAAATCCAACCCCCCTAGATTCGACTGACCAATCGGCGTTCTAAAAAACTGTCGGAGAACCCAACTCCCAAGATTCGACTGACCAATCGGTGTTCTAAAAAAAACTGTCGGCTTTAGCGATTTTAATGAAATCAGGATTTAATGTCACGGCTATACAAAACATTACATCAAGAGAATTTAGGTGATTTATCCTATGACTCTACCAACCTGAATCGTTGCTGGATGACAATCGCTGCATGTTTACTACGCCGGAATCGTTCCTGTTCACGATATGCACGGTAGTGGCTTTGTATAATAATTGCAGCCTCCCGACTCTTTTTGAACTGTTTGTAATTGTGATATCCACGGAAGCGGCTCTGAATAACACGTGCTGCATCTGTCATTTTTTTATTCTGTATGCAAGCATACTGTAAAAAAAAAAATTCTTTGTCAAATGTTTAAAGAGCTAAACCCATCATCGGTAATTAATAGGACACTTCATATAACATATTACGTGTTAATATTTAGTATTATGTGACGTGTTGTTATGAAACTTGGGCGCTGCAAGTCAACATTTAGGCCGCCGTAATTTTTCTGATATACTTTCTTAAAATTCCCTCCAAATTTGTTATCGAATCATGCAAAATTATGGACAACAATGCAATGTGTTCAACACCAAAACATCCGCTTGTTGACCTGGCAGGTGACCCTTATTTTGCCAAGACCGAAAATCATTCGATACTATTTCACCCTAAATATATAGGGATTGAAAAGAAGATGAAAGAGAGTGCTATAGCTTTGTTTAATGTGTTTTACGGTACAATAAACGACAGGTAGGGATAGACCTAGCCCAGCCAAGCACTGTCGACGACGAACGCAGCCGTTTCAGGCATTATTTTTACGTTAACAAGATGAAGTTAAGCCCCATTTAGACTGTCAAATTTCATTTGACAAAAACATGTAACATGCCTGAATATGGTCACCATTTCCGTCCGGCCAAGAATGATTAATGACGGCCAATTTAGCAAGACGTCTTGGACGGCCTTGGTCATGTCCTTTTAATAATTTTGCTGGAAAAAAAAAATCTTTAGGTTTTGTGTATATTTATTGGATGAGCTCCTGGCTACCTGTAATTGTATCCTGTACAAGTCATATCCATGAGCGTAGTTCATCATTTGACTAGACAAATAGTACTTTCAGAATTTGTGGTGGACAATTTCAGAAGAAATTTATTATTTTTCAATTCAAATGAGGATCTATAAAGATTTTAAAACATCTCATCCGAAAGACGGAGCACTATTGTAACTTGTATTTCAGCCCTCCAGCTGAAACACAAGGAGAGGCAGCGATGGGAATTGAACCGGGGAACTAGAGATCTCCACGGTTCAGCACACATACAGTGGCTACCACCAAATTAGCAGACGGAGCTAAGCTGCTCCCTCGATTAACTTACAAAGTTTGCATAGTCAAAATTCTGCTTCACTTGCTTATAACGCCGAAAATAGTTTTGGATGATAACAGCTGCCTCAAGCTCCTGCTGCTTTTGCCGTTGTCGACCCTGAAACATTGTAAAAAAAAATTAATAATTTATTCCATGCATTCATATAATGCTGCCTAGTAATATGTAGCACACATCAATTTAAATTGGATGAGTTATCATGTCTTTTGCCATTTTCGGTTGCAAATTCTATAACATAACAATAACAATTGATATATTTCTAAAGGAAATAACACAATCTAATTAAAGATGCATGCATGTTCTATATAAACACAAGAATTTTAAGCATCATTCCTGCAACAATAATCTGTTTGTAATATTTATGTTTTAAAATTAATCATCAATTTTGTGTGTATTGTATATTGGAGATGTCAAATAAATTGTTTATCATGCAATAACTAAAAAACTAAAAAACATAATAATAACAATAGTGATGACAATAATAAAAAAAATAAAAACAATAACAACAATAATAGCAATAATGCCAATAATATTATGTAATACAGTATATAGTTGATATTGTATTTACGTACTGTATCTGAACAAATTAAAATATCATTATCATAAAATAAAATGAAATTTTAAATATCAATTTATAATCTTAAATATAAAGATAACAATACTAGCATTTCAATTGATTTAATAATAAAGAAACATTATAGACAATACAACAATGAGTTAATAAAGGAAATAAAAAATTAAGGAAAAATTCACCTGGTACTGCCGGAATGCATTTTGTATCACTAAAGCTGCCTTGTACAATTCTAGCTGCTCATGGTCTAGTAGGACAAAGTCAAAGGTCAAAAGACAAAGGTCAAAACATACAGCATGGTGTTAACTTGAATAAGATATGGTATGAACATTTAATTTTACATTGAACTATTAATTTCTTATTAGATATAATTTTAATGATATATTACTGTATGCTTTTAATTACTTAATATCAATTATCATTTTACATGTTACTCCCATTAATATCTTAATAAATTGTAAAAGAAATACCACTAGTAAATAAATAATAAAATTATTAATGTTTAAATAATAAGTTACTCTCAAACAATCCCAAGGAGACTGCAAGAAGATGAGACACATACGCAGCATTTCATTTACAACGAAGATTCACAAGATTCACTTTAGACTGCCACCAACAATTAGCAGACAGTGTTGAATCTTCAAATCCTCACACAAAGCGTAGACAGATTTGCAGGCTGACAACCACCCTTGCATTGTGTACGTGGCTTATAGTCAATGTTACAGCGCCAATGATCACTGCTTTGTATCTAGGAGTTAATATACATTACTATATATTGCCAAGCTCCCTATTTATGCTTACGTTTAAATGACTGAGTGAAAATATACAAAAAAAAACTCTAGTAATATCAGTGGCGGATCCAGAAATTCAGAAGAGAGGGGACCCAGGAAGGGTCTTTCACAGAAGAAGAGTCAGACCACCTTAGGCTCATCCTAATTGGGGATGACATAAGAAAATTCATGATTATGGCACCTCTAGATGGCCGGAAATGCACTCTCAAACCTGATTATAATTTTCCTTTTTTTCTCCATTAAAAAAAATAATTTTGACAAATTTAGATGGCTCAGGCCGGCTGAGCCCCTCTTGAATCCACAACTGAATATGGAATAAAAGGAATGAAAATAATTAACCTGATAATGTGAGAAGTGAAAAACTCTGCACTGTTCCCCCAATAAAGTCCCTCATGCTGGAAGGAGGCGATTGCTCTTCAAACGACAGATCTGATTGGCTAAGAAGGCATGAATCCGTGCTTGCAGGTGAACCAATGTTTGCATAACTAAAAAAAAGTTTTTAACAAGAAAAAAAAATCTGTTTTGGTGTGGCACTGACCTCAAGGTGTATTTAATCCAACAGCTAAATATTGGAACATAAAATATAGTATATATAATTAATAAAGTAAACAAAATATGTACTGTTTAGACAAAAAAAGTTATCAATAGCACAACTTTAGTACCAACAGTTGATGCGCAAAAATGCTAGTTTAAACATATCTCCCAGAAATATTCTTTCAAATTGGGAACCCTGCACCACACAAAAGCAGTTACTACCACCTCGGTACCATTACTGGCATTACCATCACCAACTCCTTCACCAGCAATGTGACATTTTTTCACTCTTTACAAGTTCAACATATCTTGATATTTTTAATCCTACCTGTGGCTCTGCTCCATTGGTGTCCCATTTCCCTGAGCATTGGGATCATTCCTCGCAGATGTTGAGTACTCTGGTAGATTTCCTTTGATTCTGTCTGGCAGAGCATCTATGATTTGCTCAGCTAAACTCAGGTATTGTTCCTTGAAAAAAACAGAAAAAAGAATTATCAGAACAATATCATTTGATTATAGGACATTTTATCTAATTGGCAATTGTTGTACACATGACAATAAGTTTTAGGTATGACGTGACAATGCATCCCTTGGGTTGCCGACAAATATTTGTGGTCTTAGTGTCCACTAAATAGGAGGGTGGCTAGTCACCAAACAGCAAGAATAATAATGGATGAACTAAAGATATAGCTGATAGTACAGAATTCTCACTATTAATACACTATAAGGCTTTGAGAGTTGAGCTGATGCGAGACATGATTCCAGCCATTTCGTACCATTTTAATCCAAGATCACAAAAGAGTCACATCTAATCCACAAAATTAGGTACATTGGAGCTTTTGTTTTGGATACACACCGCATCAAACAAAATAAAATCTAATCGATCTAAATACATAATATTACAAAACCATCTCAAACAGTAAGGTAGAAAGCCTAAATTGAATTAAGAATATCCTGGTTTACTTTTTCAAGAAAATGTATCGACAATCATTGATAATGACAACATTTGTACCTGGTGCCATCCAAATGGAAGATTATACAATATCACTGTTTAAAAAACATGTCTTACTTTTTCAATTCTAACATCGCTTGAAAATGGGGTACCAAAAGGAGGAAGAAGGCTACCAATCAGGGAATGAGAATCGTTGGTTGAATGTCCTTCACCCATCTGCATCGGTGACTCTCGTCCATCAAAGAATCGCTGAATGCTTTCTCTGGAGACATCGGCTTGGCAGGTTAAGAAATTGTCTGAGCCAATTCCTGATAAAAATTGCCCATTATTATTTTCCTGCTGTTCGTTAAAGAAGCTGTCACTCTGGTGGACTCCAGGGCTAGCCGTCCCTAAACTCAACGGTGAACCGCTCCCTGACAAAAACGAGCTAGGGACAGATGCAGGGCTGCTGAGGCACTGGGACAATGGGGTGAAAGACCTTGCTGAAAGACATCCAGAGGAAGGTGAAGGCGATTCAAATGTCATCAGAGAACTATCGCAGTTCTGGGAATCTGATGTTGACGGAGATGAATCCATGACCGACACCACAGGGGGTTGAGTGATGGTGATGCTAGTGGTCGAGGGTGTCTGATGCCAATGGTGCTGGATCTGTTCTATCTGGTGCACCAAGGATGCATGTCCGCGTGACTTGGCTAGTTGTAGGGGCACACGACCAAGGCTATCAGATACTGTTAAACATCTCTGGTTCCAGTAAAACAGAAGCAGCGCAGTCTGGGTGTGACCAAGTGCACACGACCACATCTAAAAAAAGTCAAGAAAATAAAAAAAATTCTACAGATAAAATAGCAGAAAAAATAGTAGATTTTAATAACAATGTTTACCAAAGTTTCATCCACCTGTACTTCATCTATTTCACATTTCAATTTATAACTCCCTCCATATAAAATCCCTCATCCTCTTCAACTCACTACTTCTCGTCAAACTTCCTCCTCTTTATCCCTCACTCCTAATCATCTCCCTCCTCATCTTGCTTCACAACACCTTACTCCTTCCATCATTTCCTTTTTATGTTCTTAATGACATCACAGCTACCTATTTTGCATGCCGATACAAAGTTCTTGGATATGATGCAATATAAATGTAAAATAAAATACATAAAAATATAAGTAATTAATTATACACAAATATATAAATATACACATGTATAAATACAAACATTATTTTTATTATTTTTTATTCCCATCAATTGTAATGAAACATGAACAAACATATAATATTTATTTTCAGGTCATTATTTCCGGGTTCCTCCCTGAACCCCAAGAGTGCGAGTTCATGTTCTGGCGGCCACTGCTAGCAAGTTTATATGCAATACATAAGTGGTTGGACAGGTGTGGACGTGAAATCATGTCCCTGGCAGGGACATGATTTATGATTTCATAAATAATGTTCACTAATACATTCATAGTGTTCATGTTTCAAATTAATAATTTCTACTTATACTACCATTGGAGTGCATGAATTGTCATCCACAATCAAGGGATCGGCTTCCAACTCCATAATCAAACTCGGCCTGTTCTTCCTACAAGAAAAGACAAAAAAATCTAATGGCATGGTGTAATAGAAAAGATGCTGATTTCATATATACGAACTTAGTCTTTGAAATAGTAAGTTAGGAAAAATTTAAATGATCTTTCTCATCAATTGAATCAGAATACACTGTAAAAAATCAGATAGACTTTGTCCACTAAAATTCAATACAAACAAATGGAGAAAATCTTTTGTCCACAACTCAGGCAAATGATTTTTATGTATGCGACTGGTTGTGTATATTAAAACAAGTATGTCTTTTCTTATCTTTTATATCAACAAAATTGAATTACAAAACTTAAATGATAACAATGGCATCTGTTCACTTGAAAATATATCTCGGTATCTTTACTCACAACAAAAATATACATTAAATAGTTCATCACAGTTGAGAAACTGAATTACAAAACTAAGTTGATAAAATGTTTAAATATTTATATAATAAAATTTAGAACACAAAAAAATTATCACAGAAAATGTACAATTAGAAATTGGTTTACTTTCAGGAAAATTATAGTCCATTTTACTTAAATTCTCTTTACTCCTATTTCTTAATTTCAGCATATTGTTCTCTAATGCCGGGCAATCACTGCATCGTACGATGGTCGTACAATCGTCGCATGATGAATCCAACTCCGCTTCCTGTGAGCGATAGACAACGCAATGCCATGTGCTGATTGTCGGTAGCAGTCTGAATGGATCATCATTAAAAACGATCTGTCGTGTGCGCGTCGTCGCGTTGCATTCTTCATAGAGTTGCGTTGGCTGACGACCGTGGTGCGCAGTGTGTGCCCGGCTTAACAAATATCTGAAATAATCAATTTTACCTCCAGTTGTGAAGAGTGGTGATGAGTCTTGAATAGCCAAGAGCGGCAGCGAGGTGAAGGAGCGTCATTCCCCGCCACGATGACGTCATCTTTAGCTGCAGGTTCTCTTGATGACCGCAAGCCATTAACTTCTCGCAAATTGTTACAACACGATTTTCAAAGCACATTTGTTGAGATGTGCCTGGTTGTGATTCATCTTCCTAAATTTGTGAACAATAATTATGACTTGAGTTTAGAATAAATAAAGGTATTCCCGTATTTATTAGAATAAAGGTTTTTGAAGGCGCGCTTATTCGATGGAAGGCGTTTTAGGTACGTACTCAAATAAACGCCACATAATTTCATTGTAAACGTGGAACTACAACGCATAATTACCGTAAAAATGTGTTACTGCGTGATCATAAAAACATTACATTGATCCCAACCAAGTTAGAAAAAATGTAATTCTACTAGAGTAGAGCATTAATAGAATAAAAATGATGTTGCTTGTTTAGCCATTTAGCCGTTTATTCAAGGAAAAAATAAATGCCTTGAGGTGTCTATTCGAGGGAGACGTTAATTCCAAATGAGGCTCAAGAGGGGATGCGTTTATTCAAGGGGGCGTTTCTTCAAAGCAGGGTGTTTATTTAAATAAATATAGTATAGAATATATGTAGGTAGTTTATCATTGGAATAACTGATAAAAGTATTTTAAAGTTTCAGAAGCATGAACAGGCTATTGTAGGTAAGGTTACTCACAGTAATATTATAAAAGGTATTCAAATACATTTTACTCTATTGAAATGACATATGCTGTAGCAAGTGCATTTCTAAAAGTAATTTATAAATTAATATCACTTACTTTTCCCCTTGCTTGCTGCATCTGTTGTCCTAATCCTCCATTTTCTCCTAGTCTCTTTTCAATCTGCTCCAGGCGATCCAAAATGGCCATTTTAAATTCATTTTCTACAAGAACATAATTTTTATGAAAATTACTATACATGCCCGCTGGAAAAAAAGACGATTTCAACGTCCAAACGACCGTGTATCGACGGCACCTTGAGATAGAATGGTTTTAGTACAATTTTGTTGCTAGGGACATTATCTTCACACCTGATAAGCTAATTAGGCACAAAGCAAACTGTTTATCTAACAATAAAATTATGGAATAAACTGTTGTTTGACTGATTCATTAACACACTCAGTTGTCGTATGTAAAAGCTTATTAAGGCCCATGGCACCAAGCCTACGCTGCCCATCTATGATCTACTCTATCTAGGCTAGGCCCAGAGTACACACTATCTATCATATTGCATTGTCTTCCTCCGGGCAGCGTGCCGACTCATGTAGGCCCGTGGTATATAGCCTAGGTGTATAGCTTAAAGAATAAAAGAAACGAAAAATAATAAAAATAATAACATGAGAGATTATCATTATTATTACAGTGCTACAATGTTAGTGTGTGAAGGGGGGGGGGGTTGTATTAATATCATCTCCTTTTGATGATTTATGCTACTGCTATAGCACATGGGGTTAATATCCTACAGCAGACATGATGCCATTGACACTGTAAACATTAAATACATTCCTTGTGACTTAATAACCAATATTCAATTCATGAATCATAGCAAAAACAAAAGTTAGGGGCCTTTCACAATTATCTACATTTGTACAAACTTTTTCAGTACCCATACCTCCCCCCTGAAAGTGTACATAAAAAATGTCTTTTTGCTAAATGATTCTACTATATCCCTTGTTGCATTATACAGCAATTGGTCATAAAAATATACTATTTTAAATATTGTATGTTATTTTGAATCAACATTTCCACGTATATATAAAAGTGTTTCAAATTTGTCTACACCCTCCCACAAGCATACTCTTTGTACACTTGTTAAAATGTTGATAATTGTAAACAACGCTTAAACAAACTATGTCTGTTTTCAAAACAGAAAATAGGGGTTTTCCTTATTAACCGACCCTGTGCATTTTGAGTTTGTCAAACTTGCGTAATTTCACAGGTTGAGGGCGAAAATTGTTCATACATTGCACAGTAATTTTGTGTTTAATGAAGCTGTAGCCAGAACTTTGAAACTATTTCAAAAATGCAAATTGCATTAACATCAAAGTTAAATTACTCGTTTATTAATATTCAAAATATGCAGAATGTTTAATAAGAAGAAAACAAAATAATTGTGAAATAGAAGGCAACATATTTTAATAACGAAGAATATGTTTTGTTTTTGAGAGAGACAGTATATGGCCTTTTAATTTAATAATTTTACTTTTGTACTGTATAAATCAATAAAGATTTAAAAGTGAAATGAATAAAAGTAAAGTACACCCCAAAAAAAAGGGGAAAAAAAATATGCAGAATGATGTCATAATTTAATATGCACATCTTTGCTTGGACACAGTTTGAAGATGATCCAAACATGGAAAGTGACGGAAGTGCTGGACAGAAAAACTCTTTGCAAAAACATTGGAAAATGGGATAGAAGAAAATAAAGAAAATTTGAACAAAAACAATGGCTTTTCTGATAATGCGGGAAAAGCCAATAATAATGCTAGCAATAATGAGAGCTTAGAGTGACAATGAAAGCTGTTGGACTTGATAACGTTATCTTAAATTCTAGCACTTTTGTTCTTGAATAAAATTGCAATAATATGTTTGCTGAATCTGTCAATGATAATGCATTATTTGAGATTGTTGAGGATTATTTAAATGAAATATTAACATCTTAACCATTCATCCATTATACTTTGCTCTAGAACGCCATGAACTCTAGGTAAGTAGCTTCCAAGAATGATTAATTTCTAAAAATCCATGTAAATCGTAAAAGCATGTAAACAATTTAGGCTGTATGAATAATTCATCTACTTTTATGAGGGGAAAAAAAAAACCCACAGAAATAAATGAAAGATTTGCAGGATGAACTGAAAGTAGATACATTGTAGTATAAAATTTTGTGGCTATAGAATTACCATATTTATTCAAATTTTCGTCACAGGCCATTTTTGAAGGGGCGTTTATTCGAAGGAAGCATTTATATTTTGGGTGTAAAATGGATACGTTTATACTCAAATAGACAACCCTTATTGTCACTGAAAAAATGGATCTACTACACATTACCATCAAATGTGTTAAGTGTGATCATAAAAAGATTATTGATCCAAACCAATTTAGAAAGAAAATATAATTCTACTGGAGTAGATCATTAACAGAATGTGCTGAGAATAATGTCCATTAGTTTTGTTTACAGTCACTTAGGGGTTGTTTATTCGAGGAAAGTATAAATGCCTTTGGGAATTTATTAAAGGGAGGCTTTTATTCCAAATAAGGCTCTGAAGTGGGCGTTTATTCAAGGGGGGCATTTATTCAAAGAAATAGGGTACTAGGCGTCTTCCTGGTGGATTAGAATTTTCTAATAATTATAAGGGTGCTCTTTTAAAGATATACACTTCTTGGTGTTAAGCTAAATAAATAATATACAATGCGTTATAAGATTATCATTTCATTTCCTCTCAAATGTGTTTTTAACACAAATGTACCAATTTTCAGAGTGGTTCAGAAATTACAATAAAAAATAAATAAATACAAAATCAATTATGAGTAAAACACTATCAAATTTATTTATTATTAAACCTAACATTAACAAAATGCATAAGATTAATTACCAATTAAACCACTGTAAACTTGATGCTATTTTTTAATGAAGGTGTATCATTTTTATATTATATTCTGAAGACTTTTTAAAAGTTGCTTGATTAAATAATAGATTTGATAGTTAACATTTTACTAAAGTTATAGGTCTTGTGGGCCATGTAAAATTCCACCTCCCTTGTACGTAAAAATTGAAACCAAATAATAATTGTGAATGGGAATTTGTTGTAAATAACAATTAAATGTAAATCAAATTGATATCAAACATTTTGGTTAGCTCCAGTTTAGTTTGGCAAGATTAATGGTTACTAGGATACTGCAGAAGGTAATCAGCATGTAAATTTCATTGCCATACTGGAATATTCTATTTTTTTATTCTATATTGTTTTTTAATTTATTGAAATTCTCTTGGCGACAAATAAACCAATAGAGGGATTCGGCGATTGCCGTCACGTGACCTAACTTGGGTGTTGGCTGTAAACAATGGACTGGCACAGCGGAGATAGCTATGGCGGCTGTCCCATGTTATTGCTGTAAAGATCATCATAATTGCTATATTTGCCCTTTGGAACATAATTTAAGTTACTCTAAGTCAATTGTTGATGTCCCGAAATTCACCACACAAACTTTATATAAAACTTTTATATTTCATAGTATTACAAAAGTTCCGAGATCTAATGTAATCATGTTTTGAGGCACATTTTGTAAAGCTGTCCAAAATTAACGGGAAAACAACACAAAATTTATCCGTTGTTTATCATTAGAGGCAATCTAAACTTCAAAATGACCTTACTCCGGTTTTACTTAGCCTAGGAACATGATTTCAACACCAAAGTAAAGCTGATATTCATTTATCTAAATATATCAATACTAAATATATCAAAATTTATTTTCCATTTTTTGTACACAAGACTTATTTTGTCACGACAGCTAACAAATATCATTCATAAAATTGATTGATATAAAATTGTTTATAATAACCACATGAGGACCTGCAAGCCATATCAACAGCAGGAAAGCAAATGCACACACATTCAACTTCAATAAAGGGGATTTCTTAAACATCCTTTTGAAAATTTCATCAAAGAAAATAAAACAAAAATAGAATTACCATCCAAAGACAGCCAGTCTTGTTGGGCACTAGGTTGTGGCATTGAACGGGCCTTGTATTCAAACAAAACGGCACGTGAGATGGGCATACTGTTGTGGGCTACTCGCAAAATCACTAAGCCCGCCGTGTGAGCTACAAAGAAATGGAGCAAGATATACATCAATGATGAATAGACTTCAATAACATTAATATTGAATAATCTATCAAATTATAATTAAAAAATCAAAGGAGCTCTGTATATTCAGTATGAACAACCCTCACTGAACAAACAATTAATTTTCTTGCGCCAAACTTTGGAACTCGCTCCCGCCTGCTACTAGATCATTTTTGGACTCGCCTTTTAATCTCACATCAAATCTTTTCTCTCTTCCCTTGCTTTTCCTCCTTAGAATCTGCTGGACTTCTTTGATCATTACTTTCAAATTTTCATTGTTTTTATTATTATTTTTAATTCTCTTTATTTAATTAATATTTGATTGATATTTAATTTGTTATTTATTTTTTCTTATTTTTTCTTGTTTGATTATTATCCTTAATATTGTTACTGTTATTTTTTATTATTATCATTATTGTTTTTATAAATTACTATTATTTATATTTATTATTATTTCATTATCATTATTATTATTATTATTATTATTACTTTATTACTGTATTTTTCTCTTTATTGTGAAATATATTGTGAAGCACTAGTGACATCTTCCATTTTAACTGGCATTTATATAAATTTTAAAATCTGTCAATCTATGTTAAAATCTTTTTAATTTGTAATACTGTACATTGAAGTGGTTGGCGCATCGGTTGTGGCTTGGACTCCCAACCTCAAGGTCGGGGGTTCAAAACTCTCACTGTGTAAATCGCTTGTGTCCTTGGCCAAGGCACTTTATCTACGGTTGCCTCTCTCCACCCAGGAGTACAAGTGGGTACCTGGTAGGTTCCAACACAACTGCGCTGATTACTAGCCGCAATATTATGGAATAATATAATTTAATATAATAATTTAATTTGGTGTTCAATGTGTTCCATATGTGTTTGATCCAATGACCGGGGTAGTAATGTGAAGCGCTTAGAGGCTTTGTTAAGGCATTAAGCGCTATATAAGAACGACATATTATTATTATTATTATTACTTTACTTCATCTATATTCACACTTTGTTTTGTAAACACAATCCATTATGTGGCATCAATAGATTGGTAATAGCACACTATAGTAATAACAACCTACTGATGTCTTAGAGCTGTAAAAAGACCATTATTTATCAAATATAGCCATATAGCTACAGAACTGTTGAGCTGTTGTTTAAAAACATAAACGTATTCTTGAACTAAACATTTTTAATAAAAAAATACATTCACAAAACATATTAAGTACTATTAACAGACCACCCAACAATCAGCATTTAAAATTTTTCTATCTTTTTCAATTTAAAGTCTGAGATTCGTCCTGGTCCCAACCCTTTAATATCACTATTGGATAGGCTTATCTTCATAAGACTTATACAAATGGATATAAGAAAGCAAGTTGTCTTTACCCAGTACCGCTCGCATATTTTATTTGTGTGGGAAATTTTTAACCTATATCATCAGTCAACCAATCAATTAATCAGCAATCAATACCATTATCAATCAATGTATTATTATTATTATTATTATGTATAACTGCTTTTAACTTCAATGTATAATATCAATAGTCCATGAGTAATCATATCCAATAACAGTATGTAATCATATATAAGTAATAATCATATAATTATCGTATATTATATCATAAAGATTTGGAAAGCAGCAGTGGATTGTCACTTGGTGTACTGCCAACTCACCACCAGAAGGATCCCAATGAGACTTTAATGGTTTATCCTTGGTACGTATCAACACCGAACAAATTCAATAAAATCATGATCATATCAATATGCAATTATCAAAGTAAACACACATAAACACATTAATAATCAATGGGCAACATTTTACCTACCTGGACAAAAACACCTGAGTACACCTGTCTGTATTAATGCTGCAGGCACGATGAACTCATCAAACAGGCAGGTGTAAACTCCATTCTGAATGTTCCAAGGACCAGTTACTAGGACCTTCACTCCTCCCTGAATTTACACAAAGCCAAGTATTATTAGAAATATTATATCAAACATGTTTATACATAGTAAGTATTTTCTATTGTTTGTGATGTATGCTTGTTTTTACGTAGATATAGCCTGGAATGGTTCATGTTTACGTGTATGTAGGTACATCTTGCTAAGGACTTTAATGATCTGTAACTGCAGGGTAACAGTGGCTGTATGGGCCAGTATACCAGGGTAACCCACTACTCATCTTGAAAGATGTACTGGGTTCTTTAAAGTGCACAAGCTAATTGTGTATACTGGGTCTATATATAGTCCTTATCGCTCGAAAGAGCGCCAATATTATGGCTGTAGGTTGCAGCGTTCCTCCCATATAGCTCGGCCATTCGACTCATGAATCAGAATCACAAAGAATTTTAATTGCCATATAATCATTACAAAGTCATGTCGACTTCCTTATAAATACAACATATAAAAACTATAAAAAGACCATCAAAACATAAATTTAGCTATACAATGATACAAAATTACAGAAAACGATATAGTGTATATATTATATATATGTATACACACAGGTAGTACTGAATCTTTGTATATGCTTTCTTTTTGAGTCGGATTGGACATGGTATGAATGCGTCGCTAAGCCTATTGTTCTGACAAATGGAGATTTTAATCTACCGGATTTGTTTACAACAACAGAGCTGTGAATTGGATGAGTTGCCATCTAATAATATGAAGTGATTAAAGAAACTGAATTGAATTCAATAATCAATCGATCAATCAATTCAAAAGGAAATATCCAGCTATGGAAAGACTCAAACAAAATTACTTTGCAATGCTAGCAATTCTGAAAAAAAAACCTAATTGAAAAGAGTGAACAGCATATAAGAGAAGAGTTGAAAACCATGAATAAAGGTAAAAAAACAAATCATTTGTATTTTTTTTAAATTTTGAATTTGATTGGAAAAAGGTTCCATCCCAATAAAAAAAAATTTTACACACAAAGGGACAGATGCATAAATTTTGCAGTTATTTCTAAAGTATAAATAGAGAATAGAGATTTTAATGAAGTTACTTTATTATTTTATTCTTTTAATCAACAGTATCTGATTTAGCAGCAGTTAGCTGAACTGACCTTTCCTGTAAGCCTCGCCTCTTAGATACTGTTACTAAGGTCCAACAAAACAATAGCTTAAAATGTATGTAAGCACATGTGCGTTTGAAGAACACGCTTGTTTGTAGAACATGTGCATATTCCTAGCCCCGTTCAGATAGGTCAGTTTGATTAACCCTTTGGAAAGATCCATTGTATCAGATAGATAAAATATGTAAATGCTATAAACATACATAAAAATACATTCATACCAACAAGACTTTTCACACTACTCAAATATATATAGTTGATAATAAAATGGACAGACAGATATTATTCTCCTGATGAAGACTGAAGCAACTCAATCGAAACATCGAGACATTCTCAACAAAAAATAACAGTTCTTTTCAGAACTATTTACGAGGTGTACTGCAAGCACTTAATATAAAATGGACAATAGTAATATTAATATTTTAAAAGAATAGCATAAACATAATAAACAAAGAATAAATATATGAAACCACTATAACTTGCATTATTCGCTATTGCTAATTCATAATTATATTATATTCAATTATTAATTATTAAAAATTATTCGCATTAAAATTTACATACCTCTGGATATGACCATCCTGGTGAAAAGTCTGTTATCTCCACTAAGTTAGAAGAATTGATCCCAAGTTCAGCAGGTAGATCCGTCAAAGCAGTCTCGGTAGAACTTACATTCATTGCCACATGTGAAACGGTCGAGTTTACAAGACTGGAACTCGAGTTACTGATGTTGTGACCAACAGAGGATGGGCTGGAAAACGCCATACTGGAATGTGTTACTCGGGTTGGACAGTTCTGCTTACCAAAAGAAATGTCATCATCGCTTGTTGAAAGGTTATCAAATATATCGAATGTGTCCAAGTCAAGTTCAGGTGAATTGAGTAAATTTAGAGGAGTGGACGACATTGTAGGGCAGGAGGTATTACTGCTGCTGGTCTGAGAATGTGTAGATGATGAGGTTGGCAGTGGTGAGCTGACAGTTGTAGGGAATGCATTTGCAGATTGTGAAGGAAAAGAAATTGGTTTGCTCAACAAACCAACTTGGCTTGCACCAACGCTACTATTTTGGTAACATTGGTTTGATTGGTTAACTGATTGTTCTTCAACGACTGTTGTATGATGTCTCTGTGTTTGGCTCAGTGATCTTTCCAGTTGAGTCACAATGTTTGCACTAGGTAGTTGTGTCTGCTCATTCAACTGTTGTGATGACATTTCAAACTGATTTTGATTCAGAAGCAATTCTGTCAATTCAAGCTGAGTATTAATGAACTGGTTTGTACCATCAAAACCATTATTTGGGTTCAATGAAAACTGGTTTTGACCACTTTGTTGTGTATTACACAGATTGTTACTGGAATTGATAGGCTGAAAATGACCAGTTTGAGTAGTCTTTTGCTGGTTTAGATCTGTCTGTGATAGGGTAGATTTCACTTGGTTTGATGATGTTGAAGGAATTTCAAACTGACTAGCTGGAACTAGATCATTCTGGTTCAATCTAGGTTGATTCAGACAGGGTTGAACATGATTTGACAAAATGAAATTGTTTTCGAGTTGATTTGATAAAGACACAGTTTGAGTGCTCTTGAAATGATTGAAGCCAGTAGAAAATCCAGATACATTTTGAGTGTTTTGTTGTTGTTTCTGTGTTTGAAGTTGATGCTGTTGCTGGTGGTGTTGTGTATCCAATACTCCTGTTCTTGAAATCACAGGATGCATTTCTTCTTGTCTTGGCATTAGAGAACTTGATACTAAATGATTAGTTAAAGAAGACTGGTTGATTAGTTCATTTGATGATCCTAAATTATGTCTCTGTTCAGGTGTTCGTTGAAGACCAACATCTGCATAACCAATAGGCAGACTGGAGGAAGATTGTGAATTCTGACAAGGTGCTTGATTCTGTGGAATATTCTGGAAAGTCATGCTTCTAATAGTTTGTTGAGCATTTATAGTCTGCTGGGCATTTATAGTCTGCTGAGCATTGATTGTCTGCTGGCCACTTATAGTCTTAAGGGCATTAATAGTCTGTTGAGAACTGATAGTCTGCTGGGAATTTATTGTCTGTTGTGTACTGATTGTTTGTTGAGCCTCGGAATATGTTTGAGATGGCGAATGACAATTCTCATTGCTTTCAACATAGTTAGTAATAGTCTGAAAATGCTTTGCAAGATCATTTGGCACCTTCATCACATTCTGGTAGTTCTTCGGTTGGTCTTGAAACCGATTCTTACAGGTGTGTAGTTTAGGGTCATTATCAACCATATCTTTGAGTTCTTGTGATACCTCTGCTGTGATCCTTGGAGGTTCAAGCCTTACTTTGGTTCCAGAACTAACTTCTTCCAGGTTAGCTGGGGACATATGTTTCTGGTGTGTGGCGTCTTGACAAGGGTCAGTTGCAGGTGTCATGCTGGGTGTCTGGATCACACCATTGGCATTTGTTGTTGTTGGCTGATTGTTACATGCGATCAAAATAAGTTTACTACCCTGTACAGCTGATTGGTCAAAATTCAAGACCTGCTGATTGTCAGAGGTGCTGGCCTGTTCTCCAGTTTGGTTAACAATCTTCAATATTGTTGGCCCTGCATTGCCACCTTGAATATGACATGGAATCACTTGATAGGCTGTTTGAGCTCCTGTAATAAAAAAAACAAAACTAAAAATGTTTATATTCCCAATGTTCCTAATTGATAATATGTATATCATATATTTCTGATAAATTTACTTACAGTAAATATAAAAAGTTTATTTCAATGGTGATTAAAAACAAAAAAAAAAAGAACAAGAAGTAACATTCTGAAGATGTAATACAGTAGGCTTTTTTTTTCTTTTTCAAAAAGGTGGGTGGGGGGATGGGAGAGATATATTTTTACTCTAAGTTAATTTTGTAAATTCAATGCATATTACTAACAATAATATTAAATAATAATAATTCAATAATAATGATAATAATAATAATTCAATAATATTACTAACTTAATCACTAACAGTTTCATTTTTTCTGAAGTAATTTTGGATTACAAAATCTAAAAATGTGCACTCTAGAAAAGAGTCCCCAAAAACCCAGACTAAAAGTAGAAAGGTTTTGGGCAAGTTACTGTGTGTTTCTTGAAAGGAGAGGAGCGAAGTGAAGTGTCGTGGTACTGGTGGTGTTGAAGTAAATTAGGAACATTATTTGTGAGATTTATTTTATAGAAAGGATTTGCGGTGGGTGGAAATATGCTCTCTACTCATTGCTCTTGCTATTAGTATTATCATAATTATTATTATTATTATTATTATTATTACTATTATCATTATTATTATTATTATAATTATTATTATTATTATTATCATTACTATTATTATTACTATTATTATTATTATTATTATTATTATTATTATTTAAAAAGGATGACTGTCAGCAGTCTCATTTTAAAATTTAAGTTAATTTAATGAGCCAACTTCTAACAAAAGCAAAAAAAAATATTGTATCATTATGTGCCTACATATGGTAATGGGGTGATGTCATCACGACCATATTTAGGCATGTCACATGTTTTTGTCAGATAAAATTTGAAAGTCTGGACAGGACTTTAAGTTGTTCCATAGCACTGCAACCTACCAGTACAGGAACCTAACAAATTAAACAAGATCACATACCAGATGATCCTGACAACTGCTGGTCAATTCTTGGCAAGAGAATTCTAAGAGGTCTTGACAGATCCTGCTGTTCCTCAACCTTTTCCTTGGATAGCAGTTCATTTGTCTGCTGCGTTAAATAGTAATGTACTATCGCCTCAGCAACATCTGTTCCCTGGGAAAAAAAAAAACAATTCTAGATGTGTAATACTAATACACGTTTTTCACATATAGTCGAGGACCTGGCAAAGATTTGTATGCACTTAATTTAGGAGAGAATATCTCAACTGCTATAGATTAATATGCAACCTAGGAACATGAGATGTGTGCCAAAATCCTTATCCAAAAAGAAAACAGCCTGAAATGACAACATTCACACTCTACTAATATTCAGTTTACATCTTTTTGACTCAAATCATTATTAATAAAAAAAATATTATTAATAAAAATTAAAAAATAAATAAAATTAATATATATCTTCTAGAAAGTGTTCCTTATATTATACTATATATTCTGTTCCACATAAAGATGGCAGTGAAATGACATAATGTTGTCATTGACTAAAATTTGAATCAATCATCAATCAATCAAACAATCACACTACACTTCACCTCAAAAATTAATAACATGACAGTGTTCCTTAACCAATACTATTTTATAAGACACAATAAGAAACCAAATATGATTTACAGCTACTTTTAAAAATGTCATTAATAAAATACCAGTATTTAACACAATTATTGTTGAGTTCACAAATACAACATTAACTCAAGTGAAAATGACTCATTTACATATTCACACCTTGTCAACAAATAAGTTGCTACCTGCTTGCTCAGGAATACAATTTGTGAAATATATTTATTGACAGTTAGACATATCCTGTTTTAATAATATCGTGAATAATAAATGCATCGAGCCATTAGAAGATGCTACTCAAGGTGTTATGATTGAGTTGAAAGAAAAACTACTACAACTCTCGCAATGATTATAGTGCGCTAAAAATTGCTGCTGCCATCGCATGTATTTTACAAATCTGCCACGCTAGGGGTGCAACCACAATTTTTAAATGATGGGAGGGGGGACGCAAGATTTCAAAATGCTGATTACTGATTTTGCACAATAAAGCTAGGGTGAAAATACTATTCTGAAAACACAAAAAATAGCTTGTGTGTTTACAAATTTCAGAATCTACGTTTTAGGAAATAAAATTTTTTGTTTTTTGCAGTCAGAACTGGAAAAGGAAATGAAGGACATTTGACAGCCAAAGTTTTTTGATGACCATCCCCTTGGTCACCCAGTTCCTATCAAGAGACTCGGACCCCCCCCCCCCAAGCAAGTGCGTATCATATGTATTTTCACTCACAATCTCCTCGTATCTCCACTATGCTCAATGGAAGAAGGGTACAAAGCCCAAACTAAAATTAAATTACCTGTATCAAAACTAATTGCGAGATAGATTATATAATTATTTCTAGATATTCTTATATTTTGTGTAGGAGGCAAGAATGATTCTTCATTGTCGATTGCATCTATTCCTTTAAAATGTCAAAGAGGTATTAAGACGTTATTAAAGCTTTTTGTGCAATATGCAAATTTAAACATCAACCATTAAATATGAAAGTCTTTAAAAAAAAAGTTGTATTGCTTTAACTTTAATGAGGTATTGGTTCAGGGATTAAAGAAAGCTATGTTACGTTAAGCCAGTACTCACTCCATTGTATGACGGTTATCCAAAACCGCTCCGTGTGAGTTATTTATATGTACAATTAATATTTAAATAATTCATAAGACTGTGATGAGTTCATACATATTTTTAATATATGAAATTCATAAGATTGTGATGTATAAAGATTTAATTTAAATGTCTTGCATGGAAGAAAGTAGTAATAGTAGTACTTCTGTATGTAGGATAATTTGTAGACATGTTCTGTTTTATGAATAATTCATGAGATTATGATGAGATCACAATGTATTAATATGAATAATTCATGAGATTGTCAAGAATAAAGATATAATTTAAATATGCTTGTATTCATAGCATGGAAAAAAGTAGTAGTAGTACTTCTTTTTGTAAGATTAATAGACATGCTGTTTTATGAATAATTCATGAGATATGATGAGATCATATGTATATAATATATGGATAATTCATGAGACTGTGATGAATAAAGATTTAATTTAAATGTCTTGTATTCATAGCATGAAAAAAAGTAGTAGTACTACTTCTTAATACCATTTGTAGACATTTTCGATTTTATGATTAATTCATTATACTGTGATGAGTTCGTATGCTTACCGAATATTCCTTGTTCCCGTTGTTTACTTTCATTTGTGAACCGACAACTATATCAAATAAAAATAAGATTCATTAATAAAAATAAGATTCATTAATGAAAATAAAACTGCTTTAAGAAAAAGGAAATATATAAATTAGTAGAAGTAAATAAGCGTTTATTAATAATTACACTTTCGATTTAATATATAGCTGAACTTCCTTTAACATATCATTATAATTTGCTAAGCCGAGTGAGACCCATTTCCAGCCGACTTCACATCTGACATGGTTCGCTCAGGCCGCCATGTGTGTACAAAAATGTCCAAATACAGCACTCTTGTATTACATGTATTCTGGCTAGCACTTGTGCAAATGCTCCCCCTAGGAGTTCAGGGAAGAACATGACCTGGAAGCAATTATCAAAACAAAAAAAAAATTTATTGTTTTGGTGCCATCTATGTCTCAAAATATAATAATAATTTTAACTTTTGCACTTTTGATTGAAAGTTATGTTTTCTTAAAAAGTAAAGTTGCCGAGCACGACACAACAAGACATTGAAAATTGAAAGAAATAAACGCCCAACAACAATGGGACAACATTAGGGATGCATGTATATCAGCCGCAGACTCATGCATAAAGAAGACAAAAGAGAAAGGAAATAATACAAATAAAGAGATCATAAAACTATCAAAAAACAACTCAAAATCAAAGAAAATCAACTTAATAAATAACTTGAAACAAAGACAAACATGCAAGAAAATAACAAACTACAAAAAGAAATTTAAAAAAAACTAAAGAAAACAGACAAACTCAAAAAGATTGAAACAATCAAATAGAAGAAATACATCAACACAGAAATACATCAACACAAAAATTTTATACAACATTGAAAATTATATTTAGAAAGAACCCAAGTGAATTGCTCAGTGAAGTACCAGACCTTAACGAACCACAACTAAATGAGAAAAAAAAAGTCATGGCAAACCCACAACAACAGGTGGAACTCATCTCCGAACATTTCAAGAAAGTCTTCTGGAAAAAAGACATTTCATCAATACAGCAAATCAAACCCACAAAAATGAATAAACCCTTCGAATATAGTGGAAAAAGCAATGCAAACAATAAAAAACAATAAGAGTGCTGGAGAAGACAATATCAAAACTGAATTTATCAAGCACGGATCAAGAAATGAAATCATACACATAATGGTACAACTCATGAACCACATGGCAGAAACCGGAGAAACTCCCAAAAAACTACACAGAGGATTAACTATTCCCTTCCAAAAACCCGGACCATGTAACAACCTGCGACTAGGCATACTACTCTCAATCAGAAGGAAAATACTAGGCATATAATAAGAACTACCAAGAGCCACGACACCAAAATACCACCATCACAAGCAGTTTACCGAACAGGAAGAAATACAACGGAACATGTTTTTGCACTAAAAATGCTAATCGAAAAGGCCATTAACACTTAACAATACAGCCTCTACTTCTCTCTCTTTGCATTGTCAAAAACTTTTGACACAATAAAAAGACACACATTCATCGAAGACCACAACAAAGTGACTGAACCAGATGAACTCCACATCTTTTATCTACTCCTATATGAAATGCAGTACAAGGTTCAAGTGAACAACGCCAAAAGAGAAGCCTTCAACAAAGATATAGGAAGCCCACAAGGGGATTGCGCTAGCACCCTAGAATTCACCTTCACACTAGCAGTAGCAATGAAAATTACAAATTCTAGAATCACATCAGTATCACAACCGCAGAACAGCATCAACACAACTTCAGCACAAATTCTCACTAAACTTTCAGTATGCAGACGACACCACGGACGACACTCTTCCAAAGAGTGTACTGCATTCTTTAACGTGCACATGGGCCATAAATGTACACGGTACTAACGGCTTAAACGTATCATCCGAAAGACGGTGCGCTATTGTAACTTGTATTTTAGCCCTCCAGCTGAAAAACAAGGAGAGGCAGCGATGGGAATTGAACCGGGGACTTAGAGATCTCCACGGTTCAGCGCACACACAGTGGCTACCACCAGATTAGCCGACTAAGCAAGCTCCTCTCCTCAGAATTAAGCTCCTTAATTGGTAATTAAAGAATTACCAAAAAGAATGAAAGAAAGAAATCTAACACAGAGAAAACAGAAACCTTCACTGTTGGAACAGAAGGAAACGAAGACTGGAGAAAAATCAAATATCTAGGAAGCATACTAGGCACTGAAAATGACATAAAAAGACGAAAAGGACTAGCAATAAAACAACCTTTAAAAAACATCTTAAATCATAGACAAACATCTCTAAAAATAAAGATAACAATACTCAACACATTTGTATACTCACTCCTGCTCTACAACAGTGAACAGTGAACATATTCCAACAGAAACTACTAAGAATACTAAACATCAAGCTTAAAGACAGAATAACAATTGAACACATATACATGAAGACTAAAGAGATTGAATTAAGCAAAACAAATAAAAAGAAGGAGACTCAACTGGCTAAGTCATCTACTCAGACTACCAGAAAGTGTACCAGCAAAAATCGCACTAAATGAACACCTAAGAAAAGCAAAAGGTGATAGAGGACGACCAAAACACACATGGCTGAAACAAATAAATGCTGATCTGAAACATAAAACTTTAAACACATTCACGCATGATGATTATAAAAGGGCAAACTTGTGATGCACCATGGTAAGGCTCATGGCTTGAATAAGCCGTAAATCAGCCTGGATAAGGTAAAGTCACCTCAAATATATTAAAAATAAATCAAGCAAAGACCATGGATCTCCAAGTAACAAAATAACTACAAACACAGTGTCGTTATATTCATGAGGAAATACAAGCAGAGGAGATATATTCAACAGTCTATATTGGGGTAGAGTAAATATGGACCGATGTGGAAATTCAACATCATCCTCACTGCCACACAATTTTACCAGCATGGTGAGGCGAGAATTTTTTTTAAATTTTTAGTCCAGGAGCCAGGGGCCATTTATATGCATAAAATGAACACGTTTTGTTGGTATTTTTGGAAAGGTCATCCCATGGGGGGGGGGGATCTTTTAACTGCCCATCTGACAAGACATTTCTTCTGGAATAATGGGTCAGAGGTCAATGAATGTCATTTCTGGTCAATTTTACTATGAAATAATAATCAGGAATATAAAACATGTAATATACCAAATACAATTATGTTGCACATGATATGGAAGCTTATAAAATTGTCTATCCGTTGATATCAAACTTGTTTTTGTATCTTCTTATTTTAAGTACGTTTTCAGTGTAAAAACAAAATTAGTCATTTTTTGTCAAAATTTGATATTTTTTTGTTTTTAAAAAATATATGAACAGATATTTCAACCGTTCTTTCTCGGAATTTGACCAATTATATGATAATGAAAATAAAACAAATGCGGAAGACTGAAAGCATACTTGCCGAGTATTATCAAATTTAATTTTTAACACTGGAAAATAGCAAAAATATCAAAGAATTAGCAATTTCCATTTCTTTGTGGTGGTGGGTGTGCTAATAGGCCAAAAATAAAATTTTATTTTTATTCAAAATCAACATTATTGGCGGGCAGCAGGTAAACAAGATATAAAACGTCCCGCCTGAAAGGGAGCTGGTAGGCCATAACCTTTTAGTAGCTCGTCGTCGGTGACATCATCATCTCTATTAATATTGTTGGTTACTAGCAAGAGACTATGAACGCATTAAAAAAATTAAAAAAAAAATTGTGAAGTTCAACTGAAGTTAAGCTCATGATTCTTAGATTGGAAGGCTTCACTACAATAAGTATAAAGTGCAAAAAAAAAAAGAATTTTTTATCAAATATTTTGAAACTTTTAAAAACATACACATTGGTGTGATCTGTTGTAGCAATTCTTCACGTGTCCAGGTTTTACCGTCAATGGTCAACGGAAGTGTTGTCGGCATCCAACGACCTAAGTGAATAGCGCCCCCTTTAGAGTCATCTGCTGGCATGTTGAGGTAATGTACCAATACCATGTCTGGGTTCTGTTGTCAAAGAAAAAAAATATTGTTGTGTGATGAAATGTCAAAAAATAATATTATATAAATTTTTGCTTTTTATAATAATGTAAAATAATCATGCTATCTATAACCTTTGTTGCTCTTTTGAAATACCCTGCATTCGTATGGCAAAGTCATGACCTGGGTTTTATGTTACATACTTTTTATTGTTTTTAAATAAAGAATAATTCACTTTAATTATTTTAAAAGAGAAGAAATATTAAAGTACTTACCTGTAACAACCAGTAACATCGTCTATGGAATGTTGGGATGATGGCAGAATGGACGTAACACCCATATAGGCACTAAAGCAACAGAGGAACACAAAATTCCAATAATTATACTTGTAAATGCATTCAAATGCAAAGTTCAATATAGCGTTCTGGCAGGCATAAAGTAATTCATATATTTAAAGATGCATTTCTACAATTTCTTAAAGATTACATTTGAAGAGCAATCAACCACATTAGTTGGTAGCTACAGTATGAATAATAAATTATTTACAGCTTGGGTCTATTTTCAAGTATTCTAAAATAACTTGCAAATCGCTGGGTTGGTTTTTGGAAGGGGAAACATCTTGTCTCCTTTTTCCACAAAACACTTCAGTTGCAGATCCAGGAATTTGAAATAAAGTGAGCCCAGGGAGAGACTTTCCCAGATGGATGGACGATACATTCCCACCTACTGTACGTGCTAGCAACTAGCCAATGATCAAATTACTCTCGGAAATGCATGGACTCCGGATTAAAAAAAATTATTTGCTGATAGAAAGAAGGTTATTCTCACTGCCAATCCAAAAAACTGTGATCTACAGTAATAGCACAATTTTGAGCTATTCCAGACCATAGAATCTCTCCCCCATTAAAAACAAAAGTGAAACCCTTAGCAATTAGGCTGAGCGGTTGGCTAAGAGGTATTAATCCTGCTTCTTGTGCTGAAAACCTTGGTTCAAACCCGGCCAGTATTGATTTATAATTAGAGTCTAATAGTTGCTTATAGCTCCTCCAATTACCCTCATATTGAGAGTTAGGACAATGTTTGTATCTGTTTATGTCTGTTATATTTGTAGTTAAGTTGCAAAGGTTAATTACCAGAATTTGTATACAAGCTTGCCTCCTAGGTTTTGGCATTTGTTAGTTAAACAAATTGAAATAAACTATTATTATTATTATACATACTTAACATTAACAATAAAATTTTTAAATGCATTACGATACTTCTCAAAGGAGATTTTAATTCACGTTTTGAAGGAAATAAACGTTATTTTGAACTGAACTGAACCTACAATATTTCCCAGTACAGTACACAAAAATGAATATCAAACAATGTTTAATATTTCCTGTAACACATTTATATATTATTTCTCAGTGAGCTTGTTAATCTATACCGTACTTTTCATTTCACAAAGGTTGTTCTTGAATGTGTTATCGTGAATATGAATATATTATATCTTGATTAATTGGTCTGAGGTTGATAGATCATAGCAGAATTGAAAATTATAAGATCTGGAATTTCTTTGAACGATAAGATAGTTGTAAGACATTGTATTTTGTGCCAATAAAAAAATGATGGTAATCTCAACATAAAGGTCAAAGGTAGACGTAAAGGTTATTTCTGGCAATAATGATAATAATGTATGTAATATGTACATACATGATGGATGTTAAGATTTTTTTTAAGACTGATATTATTTTTTTGCAACATGATTTATTGTCAAATTTTATTGAATAAATGTCTGCATATTTTCATTTGAGATTAAACATCAAGTTAATAAATCAAAACGATTTATGAAAATAGTTTCATAGTTTGCATATCTTACAATATTTTACACAAACATGGCTTTCATCAATAGTAAAAAATTCCTTTGGTGCATACAATTACTATATATTCTTAAAAATGTATCAGTATTTTCAAATGTATTTAATTTTAATAATAAATGATAGCAATCATTTTCTTAATTGAATAATTACAAATATTAACATTTTCATTACTACAGTATTTATAAATTTGACAATATATTTTTGAATACCGTAAAACATTAAATAGAAGCCCGATGGGCTTAATCTCGAGAAGTCCATCTTGAAAAAAAGCCTATCTCGAAAAGAAGCTCATCTCGAAAAGAAGCCCATGGCTTCTAATCAAGATATGGTGTTCTTTCGAGGTAGTATTTACATATTGACTGACGTTATATTATGATGTGTCAGTATCGAAATTATGTTATTGTGCTTGTGTAAAATTTAAGGAAAGTTAAACAGAAATTCCATAGGAAAAATTGTTGTATAGTAGCAATTCCAAAGTTGAAAACATTCATTTTGAAAAGCCCCCTCTCCACCCCCCCAACCCCACCCTCTTTAGTTTGCTAAAGTAATCTTGAAAAGAAGCCCATCTGGAACAGGGGCCAATCTGTTCAAGGTTTTATGGTATGTAGTTATAGAGGTTGTATTGTATCAAGAAAATACAAACTAAAATTGTAAAAAAATCACCAGAAGTAGTCTTTACCTCAACACCTAAAACTTTCAATTTCATATGGTCTTCTCGTGTTGTTTTGCCATCTTTGCGTTTCTTCCAAATGTAGCCATCTTTTCGGTGTTTCACTTTCTTTCGGTTGAACAAAAACAAGCATCCACTATGTGGTCTGAAAAAAAAATTCCAAAAATAAATAATTGATATCAAAAACAATTTTATTCTTTCTTTTCTTTCTTCCCCTAGACTAGATATCTACTGTAGGGGATTTATTAACACCATACATATGATACACCAACAATGATAAAATTTAATCTCTACTAAAGATAAAGAGAGATATTATTGGTATTGGTATTATTTTTAAAATTGCCTTCTGTTATTGCCTTCTGTTATACCGCATTATCAATAACTTAAAGCCCCATTCCCTGCAAGATTTTTATATATGTTATAAAAATCTGATTTTTATATATGTTATAAAGATCTATACATGTTATAAAAAATTGCTAATTTAACTGAATTTAGACATTCCTAAACATGAAAAAAATGTAAAATAAGACTGAAATTTGATTTTTTGTGTTCCACACAAAAAATAAATGCGGATGGATTTTTTATATTTGATTTTGCAATAGGTCTACGAAGAAATGTAGTAGGCGCCGAAAACATTACCCTATCCAACACTGCTAGGCTAGGCCTAGCCTTACATCGATCTAGGTTCTGTTATCACACATAAAAACGGCCGACATGATATCTTCCGTTGCTAGTATTGACACTTGTGAAATATAATATTTCATAGGAATAATTTCAAATATGTTTAAAAAATGATTCTTACCGAGATTTTGACAATTAAACAAACATATCTCAGGCCTACTCGATCAATCGCAGTGTGCAAGATGCGAAGTACAAAAAACAATTTCATTAGAGAGGACGCACTTTATTGATTGTAAAGTATACATAAAAGCGAGAGCATTCCAGCGGATGCAATCTACGACCTCTGAATTTGCCTAGTAACGAAGAATTCGTCAAGAAAATGGTAATCTCCTATAAGAAATAGTCTGTATTTCTCATTTTTTTTATTCTTTTGCGTGAAACTAAATTTATGCCAATATTTTTCCATTGTTTATAATAAATAGAGTTAAATGCATATGAATTTTTTTCTAAAAAAAAATTCTTTTTTAGTGAAATTTTGCTGGAAATGGGGCTTTAAATGATTCTCACTTATTACAACAGGATCTGGAAAGGGTGGATACCATCCATAGAAGTGTCAGGTTCTTACATTATCTCTTAAACATTAGCTGCCGCTCACAGGGCTGCGCATTCCTCCACGCTTAAATAAGGTACAAGTGAAAGTTATTATATTGAGTTTTTTTGGAAGAGCTAAGACAGAAATTTTTAAATAACTACAACGTTTATTTGTAAAAAACAAATTATTATTTAGAATGTTCATTTGTACACAATCAAATATCTTAAAATTGAAAAAATAAAATTTCTTAAAATTGGGAAAAAAAATTGAATACCAAGATGTGATTCGAACTCACAACCTTAAGTTCTTTAGAACACAACCTTAAGCGAAAGCGGCACATGCCCTATTAGTGGTAATGGCATTACAGTCCTTGATGTAGGTGTAGGGGAAACCCTAGGGTCCAACTTAAAAAAAAGGGCAATGAACGTTTGCAGAAAATCACCTGTAGTTTATGCGTACAGAATTTCTTGCATATGCGTTCAACACTGGCGACGCTCAACGCTTTTAAAGTTCTGATAACAAGAACAAGAACAACATTGAGGCTCTGGGGTCAGAGCCTTGCGAGGCTCAAAGACTGCGAATTAATTATGTATGCAGCAGTAACGGTGCATTAATTGAGAAGGTTAATGTTCAAAAAGATCTTGGAATTTTTATTGATAATGTTGACTATATTGTACCAGAAGCAATAGGATGTTGGGCATACTTTGGCAGCACTGTATAAAGAACTCAATAATAACACCTAAGCTTTATCTTTATATTTCTCTTGTTAGACCCATCTTGGATTTTTCGTCTACAATTTATAATTCTATTTATTTCTCAGTCAAATCACACAGAATGAGTCCAATCCAAATTTATGTTCTGTATTTTATTAATTATACAAATGTTGGTCCTCCTATTCACCTTTCAATACTCCATATGAGAAGAGTTTTGATATGGTTTTCTTTTTTGATTGTTTTAACTGGCTTTTTACGTGTCCTTTTTTCTTTATTTATATTGAAAATCCATAGACCAAATTCACATAATGGTGATCTATTCTCTGTGCCCTATAGCCGAGTCAATGCTACTAAAAACGGTTTTATTCATAGACTCTCCTATAACTATAATATTATTTACACACGTAAAGACACAATTATTGATATATCATATAACAGCATTTCCACGTTCAAAAAGTTGCTTAATATTCAGTATAGGAATTCTTTCAATTTAGCTAGGAACTTTGTCGATTATATTTTTGATTACCTTTTTAATTTTTTTCTTGCTTTTGAATTTTACCATATATTTATATATTGCATGTGTACAACATCTGTAATTGGCAATATCATTGCTTGATTTAGTTGAAATAAAATAAAATAAACAGAGAAGTGAAATGATCTACATGACAAAAGCAAGCACATCACAAATAAGCACCACAGAAGGCCAGACTCAAAATGCCAGCTATATATTATTTCACCTTTAATAGATAAATATACTGTAGCTGTACTGCCTGTGAAAGAAGATTTTGGATTATAATAAAAAAAAAAAATTAAAAATAAGCAAATATGGAAACTATGAATTTAGATTAAGAAATCAGAAGACAAGAGTCAAAATCAAGGAGAAATTAATTGAAGGGTAATAATGACATTCCACGAGAGAATAAATAAGATGTAATAATACAGACTTCAACGTGACTTGTTCCACAATTGATGCGAGCAATACTGTCCATGACTATTTTTCGTCCTGATGTAAATTACAATCTAAGATTATGATTATCCAACCAAAATGTCAAGCAAAAGATCAGGTAAGCAGCTACTCTACATTATCAGTATCAGAAAATGTTTCTAAATCTAATTTGTCTCTATCGCCACATTGACAGCCAAGGTTGCATTTTTGTAGTCTTTATCATTACCACCATCATAAACAATATTATAAATTTATTAAGAATTTAAGGCGAATTTTTACTCTTTATTATGCAATACATGATTAAGCTATTTATAGTAAAAACAAATGTAATAATTTCTGAAAAGAGAGGCATATTTTGGTGTTAAAAATGTTATGTACTGTACAGATTTAAAAGCTTCCAAGTCAAACAAGTCTGCAAATTAACCATATAGCTATGCCCATTTATATGATTAGGCATACAATAATAGTGGAATATCCATCAGTGGATGAAGACTTGAAACACTAAACAAAAAAACAAAACCTTATAACATTGGCACTTTTTACAAGAGAAAAAACGGAAACCAATTTTACAATACAGCATGGAAAAACATTAAAAAAGGTGGTTGGTTACTCCTAGCCAAGAGTATGAATAATTTTATGTAAAAACAATGAAACAAATTAATAGTTGTACATTTTGAATGACACACAACCCTCTTTTTGGTTCAATGAGATAGATGATATTCAATCCCTCATTTCTTTGGTTTAACATGATATATCAAAGTTCAGGAATTTCACAATCAACCTCACAACACTTTAATTTTATAGAGCATCTTGTTTGTACTGTATGTTTGTACAGGAATTACAAGAAGCGCATAAATTTTACAATTGGCATCTCAACCAATCAATCAATCAATCTTGGTATTTGTGCCTAAAAAGTAAATATTATTATTTACTTTTATTTTGACCAGACTTTTTTTTATACATTTTTTAGCAAACCCACCGACTGCAAATATTCAAGATTTGAAATAGAAATAAAATTTCATTTTTTGGCCAATTAGTGAACCCGCTGCCAAAAAAAAGTGGAAATTTCTGGGAAAAAAAAAAGTTTAAAAAAAATTTATATTATGCCCTCTGCTGCCTTGAAATCTCCAAAGATAAGATATGTACAGTATATTTCTTCCTATTTATATAAATTTGAAGCATTCTCCGCCACCTGGATTTTTTTGGCAAAACTATTTGGTAAATAAAAAAACAAAATTTTACTTCTATTTTTATTCCACCCTTCTCCGATGATCTTTAAAAACATAAGTCTGCGAAACACGGAATAAAAAAATTCTCGCCTTAGTTTTGTAAAAGTGGTACGGTGCAATTGGTAGTGGTTCTGCTTCCAACTTAAGGTTCGAAGGTTCAATCCCTTGATCTGCCTTTCATGTCCTAAAAAAGGCACTTTACCTATGGTTGTTTCTCTCCACCCAGGGGCACAATTGGCTACCTGGTGCTGTAGGTTCAAACACAAAATGTGCTGGCAGCAACATCATGGAATTTTCCTTAAGGAGATGAGTATGTATCAGATACAATAACTGGGGGGTATAAATGCTTCGAGGCCTTGTTTGATTGCAAAAATATATATTATTTAAAAAACTAAAAAGCTGGAAAAGAGGTAGCTTAAGCAAAGTGCAGTACAGTACATTGATATTTAACTCAGATTAAAGCCAGCTAAACCCCTTAACATCAGTCTAACGTATTATTATAGGAGTAAAGTTTGGCCTATCTGACGTGTTATCGTACCAAATACAGTACTCAGGACGTTACCAAATACTTGCGAAAAAAATTGTAAGTGATCAGGTGGGAAATGAACCCACAAACTTTACTTTGGAGGTATTTTCCGGACACAAGTCTCACCTGGTCTTTTCAGCGTAATTTCAATGACAGACTTCTAGAGCTTACACAATAAAATATTTGCAAAAATCAAAATAAAATAAATTCAGTACAACATATTCTTGAAATACAGGAATGCAGGGAAAGATTTGGGAGGGGGGGGGCTGGCCTGGCCCTGGTCCTTCCCCCTCCTTTGGGAGGTAAAATAAAGAAAAAAAAAAAGAAAGAAATGAAAAACATGACAGCCCAGAATGTCTCACATGTTATTTTCAAGTGTCTAGAACAGAAAATTTCGCGGGGGAACATCCCCGGACCCCTTAGGCCAGTATTGTCTCGATCGGGCCCCACCTTTTTGGATCCCCCACCTTTTGGAAATCTCTGGATCCGCCCCTGTGTATGACCTATGTTAGTGTTGT